CCGCAACCCCATCGAACACCTTTGGGATGAATTGGAACTCTGACTGAGAGCCAGGCCTAATTGCCCAACATCAGTGCCCGCCCTCACTAATGCTCTTGTGGCTGAAAGGAAGCAATTCTCCGCAGCAATGTTCCAACATCTAGTGGAAAGCCTTCCCAGAAGAGTGGAGGCTGTTATAGCAGCAAAGGGAGGACCAACTCCATATTAATGCCCATGATTTTGGAATGAGATGATCGACGAGCAGGTGTTCACACACTTTTGGTCATGTAGTGTATATCTATATATACTGTATATATATCCTGAACCAACATATACACTACCGGTCAAAAGTTTTAGAACACCTACTCATTCAAGGGTTTTTCTTTATTTTTTACTATTTTCTACATTGTAGAATAATAGTGAAGACATCAAAACTATGAAATAAAACATATGGAATCTTGTAGTAACCAAAAAAGTGTTCAACAAATCAAAATATATTTTATATTTGAGATTCTTCAAATAGCCACCCTTTGCCTTGATGACAGCTTTGCACACTCTTGGCATTCTCTCAACCAGCTTCACCTGGAATGCTTTTCCAACAGTCTTGAAGGAGTTCCCACATATGCTGAGCGCTTGTTGGCTGCTTTTCCTTCACTCTGCGGTCCGACTGGTCCTAAACCATCTCAATTTGGTTGAGGTTGGGGGATTGTGGAGGCCAGGTCATCTGATGCAGCACTCCATCACTCTCCTTATTGGTAAAATAGCCCTTACACAGCCTGGAGGTGTGTTGGGTCATTGTCCTGTTGAAAAACAAATGATAGTCCCACTAAGCCCAAACCAGATGGGATGGCTGTCACGATCGTCTGAAGAAGCGGACCAATACGCAGCGCGTGGAGTGAACATGATGACTTTTATTTAATAAAGCAACCACGAAAACAACAAATGACGATAGTGAAGTCCTCTGTAACACTGACAGAAACATGGAACAAAAACCCACAAACCAAGGAGAAACCACACAATTTAAATATGGCTCCCAATCAGAGATAACGAGCCGACAGCTGACACTCGTTACCTCCGATTGGGAGTCATATGACTAATCAAGAACAATCACCCAACATAGAAATGAACAACTAGAATCCCCAACATAGAAATACACCCAAACAATGAAAATGAACAACCCTGGCTCAATAATCAAAGTCCATGGAGCCAGAGTGTCACAGTACCCCCCCCCTAAAGGTGCGCACTCCGGGCGCACCAGCATACAGTCTAGGGGAGGGTCTGGGTGGGCGTCTGTCCATGGTGGCGGCTCTGGCCCAGGTCGTGGTCCCCACCCCACCTTAGTCACTATCCGCTTCCGTAGCCCCCTCCACCTGACCACCCCCCAATTAAACCCCACCGGACTAAGGGGCAGCACCGGACTAAGGGGCAGCACCGGACTACGGGACAGTACCTGACTAAGGGGCAGCACCGGACTGAATGGCGGATCCTGGCTGGCTGGCTCTGGCGGATCCTGGCTGGACGGCTCTGGCGGATCCTGGCTGGACGGCTCTGGCGGATCCTGGCTGGCGGAAGGCTCTGGCTGATCCTGTCTGGCGGAAGGCTCTGGCTGATCCTGTCTGGCGGAAGGCTCTGGCTGATCCTGTCTGGCGGAAGGCTCTGGCTGATCCTGTCTGGCGGAAGGCTCTGGCTGCTCCTGTCTGGCGGAAGGCTCTGGCTGATCCTGTCTGGCGGAAGGCTCTGGCTGCTCCTGTCTGGCGGAGAGCTCTAGCGGCTCCGGTCTGGCGGACGGCTCTGAAGGCTCATGGCAGACGGGCGGCTTTGCAGGCTCAGTACAGACGGGCAGTTCCTGCGGCGCTTGGCAGACGGACAGGTCAGACGGCGTTGGGCAGACGGGCAGTTCAGACGGCGTTGGGCAGACGGGCAGTTCAGACGGCGTTGGGCAGACGGGCAGTTCAGACGGCGTTGGGCAGACGGACAGTTCAGGCCCCGTTGGGCAGACGGCAGACTCTGGCCGTCTGAGGCGCATCGTAGGCCTGGTGCGTGGTGCCGGAACAGGAGGTACCGGGCTGAGGACACGCATCTCAGGGCTAGTGCGGGGAGAAGCAACAGGGCATGCTGGACCCTGGGGACGCACCGTAGGCCTGATGCGTGGTGCCGGAACTGGAGCTACCGGGCTGAGGACACGCATCTCAGGGCTAGTGCGGGAAGCAGCAACAGGGCATGCTTGGCCCTGGGGACGCACCGTAGGCCTGATGCGTGGTGCCGGAACTGGAGGTACCGGGCTGAGGACACGCATCTCAGGGCTAGTGCGGGAAGCAGCAACAGGGCATGCTTGGCCCTGGGGACGCACCGTAGGCCTGATGCGTGGTGCCGGAACTGGAGGTACCGGGCTGAGGACACGCATCTCAGGGCTAGTGCGGGGAGAAGCAACAGGGCATGCTGGACCCTGGGAACGCACATAAGGGCTAGTGCGGAGAGCCGGAACAGGGCATGCTGGACCCTGGGGACTCACATTAAGCCTAGTGCGGAGAGCAGCAACAGGACGCACAGGACTCGGGAGACACACAGGAGGCTTGGGGCGTGGTGTAGGCACTGGTGGGAAAGGGCTGGCGACGCGCACCGTATCCCTGGTGCGAGTGGCCGGAACAGGCCGGGCCGGGCTGGCGAAGCGCACCGTATCCCTGGTGCGAGTGGCCGGAACAGGCCGGGCTGGGCTGGCGAAGCGCACCGTATCCCTGGTGCGAGTGGCCGGAACAGGCCGGGCTGGGCTGGCGAAGCGCACCGTATCCCTGGTGCGAGTGGCCGGAACAGGCCGGGCCGGGCTGGCGAAGCGCACCGTATCCTTGGTGCGAGGGGTCGTAACAGGCCGGACCGTACTGGAGGCACACACCACTGGCTCTACCCCGGGAACTGGAACGGGCCGGACCGGACTGGATACACACCTCAGTCTCTCACGCCGTGCCTCTACATCTCCTTTCCCTACTTTGGCGAGTGACCCCCGTAACCTGGTTGCCTCTTGAATTCGCCCCTTCTCTGCCTCCGTTAGCCCCGTCGTCCAAGCCATGTGCCCCCCCCCAAAAACTTTTTGGGGTTGCCTCTCGTCCTTCCAACGATGATGGCCCTGCTGACGCCGTTGCTCCTCTCGCCGTCGCCTCTCCACCGTTTCGCTCCATGGACGGCGATCCATCCCATCCAGGATCTCCTCCCAAGTCCAGGACCCCTTTCCGTCCAAAATCTCCTCCCATGTCCAGGAAGCCTTTGGAGCTGGGTCCTGTTGCCGCTTCACACGCTGCTTGGTCCTTTGATGGTGGGTTTTTCTGTCACGATCGTCTGAAGAAGCGGACCAATACGCAGCGCGTGGAGTGAACATGATGACTTTTATTTAATAAAGCAACCACGAAAACAACAAATGACGATAGTGAAGTCCTCTGTAACACTGACAGAAACATGGAACAAAAACCCACAAACCAAGGAGAAACCACACAATTTAAATATGGCTCCCAATCAGAGATAACGAGCCGACAGCTGACACTCGTTACCTCCGATTGGGAGTCATATGACTAATCAAGAACAATCACCCAACATAGAAATGAACAACTAGAATCCCCAACATAGAAATACACCCAAACAATGAAAATGAACAACCCTGGCTCAATAATCAAAGTCCATGGAGCCAGAGTGTCACAATGGCGTATCGCTGCAGAATGCTGTGGTAGCCGTGCTGGTTAAGTGTGCCTTGAATTCTAAATAAATTCCAGACAGTGTCACCAGCAAAGCACCCCCACACCATAACACCTCCTCCTCCATGCTTTACAGTGGGAAATACACATGCAGAGATCATCCGTTCACCCACACCGCATCTCACAAAGACATGGCGGTTGGAACCAAAAATCTCAATTTGGACTCCAGACCAAAGGACACATTTCCACAGGTCTAATGTCCATTGCTCGTGTTTCCTGGCCAAAGCAAGTCTCTTTTTATTATTGGTTTCCTTTAGTAGTGGTTTCTTTGCAGTAATTCGACCATGAAGGCCTGATTCACACAGTCTCCTCTGAACAGTTGATGTTGAGATGTGTCTGTTACTTGAACTCTGTGAAGCATTTATTTGGGCTGCAATTTCTGAGGCTGGTAACTCTAATGAACGTGTCCTCTGCAGCAGAGGTAACTCTGGGTCTTCCATTCCTGTGGCGGTCCTCATGAGAGCCAGTTTCATCATAGTGCTTGATGTTTTTTGCGACTGCACATTAAGTAATAGTCCCCTGTAGCTCAGTTGGAAGGCACAATTGTTAATTGAAATGCATTCCAGGTGACTACCTCATGAAGCTGGTTGAGAGCATGCCAAGAGTGTACAAAGCTGTCATCAAGGCAAAGGGTGGCTATTTGAAGAATCTCAAATATAAAATATATTTTGATTTGTTGAACCCTTTTTCTATTACTACATGATTCCATATGTGTTATTTCATAGTTTTGATGTCTTCACTATTTTTCTACAATGTAGAAAATAGTAAAATTAAAGAAAAACTCTTGAATGAGTAGGTGTTCTCAAACTTTTGACCAGTAGCATATATATATATATTTTTTTTTTTTGGGGGGGGGGGGTATTATTTAAGATACTCTTTGAAGAGGTAGGGTTTCAGGTTTTTTAGGAAGATGGGCAGGGACTCTGCTGTCCTAGCTTCAGGGGGAAGCTTATTCCACCATTGGGGTGCCATGACAGAGAAAAGCTTGGACTGGGCAGAGCGGGAGCTGCCCTCCCGTAGGGGTGGGAGGGCCAAGAGACCAGAGGTGGCAGAACAGAGTGCTCGGGCTGAGGTGTAGGGTTTGAGCATAGCCTGAAGATAGGGAGGGGCAGTTCCTCTTGCGTGTTTAAAATATGGTGCAAAGCCAAGCTTTGTAAAGTCATTTAAAGCCTTTAACATAAACTGTGTCAATGTTTTCTTTGGCAACAACAGCAGAAAACTAACATTATAAACCGGTGGCTCCTCCCTCCCATCTCCAGAGCGCTTTACTGGTTTTACGAGCAGCGCCAAAAAGTACCGAGAGGCACTGGTCCTGTCACAGCTTATCTTCACTCTTCACCGTTAATTCGACCATGAAGGACGAATGACACATCGTAGACCTTGACCAGTCACATGGCTGAACTGACCGGAGGCGATACATGTTCACTCCAACTTTGTTTCCCGAGTTTGATTGGAATATGTGAACGCCAGCAGGATGAAGGCAGCGGTGTGGCGTTTTCTCCTCCTGTACGTGTGTGAGCGCATGCAAACCGTGTCCGTGGCCGGGGTCCAAGGCTCAGCAGTTACCCCAATGGACACAACAGCTTCCACATGCTCTGCTCCGGTTACCCCCACGGACGACGAGACCACTGGACTGGTGGTGAGGAAAAATGCAGAGGTGTATAGGCCTATAGGGATGTTTGTATTATTTATCCAGAATGGATTATTTATTTCAGCAAGTTGTCATTTACGATGGCCTCTAAAGTGAAAATAGTAAAAATTGTGAATAGTTAATAGAGAAAATAGTGAATACCAATCCAAAACCAAAGGTGTTACATCATATGCCTTTATCTGATTTTGTCTAATTTGTTTTTTCACTTGACACAGAGTTACCTTGATGAGCAAGCTTCTATAACTGGGCTCACATGCATATGGACCTGTACCTTCACAGGATTGGTCTATCGAGTTAAACACTTTATGTAGACACTTTAAGGGGCTGTCGAGTCAACCCCTGCTTTTTACTTATCTGATTTTCACTTAACCTGTGATTTCTCTTTACCCACTCAAAACTACCACTTCTGCTATTAATGACATTGTCATATTGAACCCACGTCTCTGTAGTTTACATCTGAGTCCTACCTATATTGACTGTAAGTCGCTTTGGATAAAAGCGTCTGCTAAATGACATATTATTATTATTATTATTATATGATGCTTCTCAATGCAATACTTCGGTGTCTTGTCCCAGGATTGGCTGACGAGGTATGGCTACCTCCCGCCCTCGGACCCCTCCACTGGACAGCTACAGGTCTGGACAGCTGTCACTCATGCTGTTAGCACCATGCAAAGGTTTGCAGGCCTAGAGGAGACAGGAGTTGCAGGTGAGAAAAGAGAAAGAGGGTTGGGGAAATTAGGGTGATTGTATCCATTCTCTGTGATTCTCTCTCTCCTTCTCTCTCTCTCAATTCAATTCCATTTTTTCAATTTAAGGGCTTTATTGGCATGGGAAACGTATGTTAACATTGCCAAAGCAAGTGAAGTAGATAGCAAACAAAAGTGAAATAAACAATATATATTAACAGTAAACATTACACTCAGAAGTTCCAAATGAATAAAGACATTTCAAATGTCATATTATGTATATATACAGTGTTGTAACAATGTGCAAATAGTTAAAGTACAAATGGGAAAATAAATAAACATAAATATGGGTTGTATTTACAATGGTGTTTGTTCTTCACTGGTTGCCCTTTTCTTGTGGCAACAGGTCACAAATCTTGCAGCTGTGATGCACACTGTGGTATTTCACCCAGAAGATAAGGGAGTTTATCAAAATTGGGTTTGTTTTCTAATTCTTTGTGGATCGCTGTAATCTGAGGGAAATATGTGTCTCTAATATGGTCATACATTTGGCAGGAGGTTAGGAAGTGCAGCTCAGTTTCCACCTCATTTTGTGGGCAGTGTGCACATAGCCTGTTTTCTCTTGAGAGCCAGGTCTGCCTACGGCGGCCTTTCTCAATAGCAAGGCTATGCTCACTGAGTCTGTACATAGTCAAAGCTTTCCTTAAGTTTGGGTCAGTCACAGTGGTCAGGTATTCTGCCACTGTGTACTTTCTGTTTAGGGCCAAATAGCATTCTAGTTTGCTCTGTTTTTTTTTTTTTCTCATGATTTGGTTGGGTCTAATTGTGCTGTTGCTGTTGTTGTTGTGTTGTTCTCTCTCTCTCTCTCTCTCTCTCTCTCTCCTCTCTCTCTCTCTCTCTCTCTCTCTCTCTCTCTCTGTCTCGCTCTCGCTGTCCTCATGTCTAAGATGAGGAGACGCTGGCTCTGATGCGAGCCCCGCGATGTTCACTGCCAGACAAAGGGGAGGAGCCCAAACCACTGGCCAATCAGCTCCAGGAGGGGCAGGGCCTGAGGAGAAAGAGGGCTGTGACCACATGGACACGAAGGAACATCAACTGGAGGTTCATTAGACTTCTGCTCATCATCCCTCCAACATACCCTCTTATTCATCAACTTATCACTCAATAGAACTTTTGTGAAACATCACAGTACAGTTGAAAAATATATGGCAAATAGAAATCCAATATGGATGGTGTTAAGAGATAGATGGGAGGTGTTGAATGGAGTTGAAGGATGGGACTAATAATAACTAACAACAACTAATAACAAAAAGATAACTAATGTAAAGCATACTGTGTCCATAATAAGTATATAGGTTATAGGTTGAGAGCTTTTGTGAAAGAGCACAGTTAGAAAGATATTTACATTTACATCATTTAGCAGACGCTCTTATCCAAAGCGACTTACAAATTGGTGCATTCAACATATGATAGCCAGTGGGAAAACCATAAAAAAAATAAATTGTATTGGGGTGTGGGTGAGTAGAAGGATTACTTTATACTATTCCAGGTATTCCTTAAAGAGGTAGGGTTTCAAGTGTCTCCGGAAGGTGGTCAGTGACTCTGCTGTCCTGGCGTCGTGGGGGAGCTTGTTCCACCATTGGGGTGCCAGAGCAGCAAATAGCTTTGACTGGGCTGAGCGGGAACTGTGCTTCCGAAGAGGTAGGGGAGCTAGCAGGCCAGAGGTGGATAAACGTAGTGCCCTCGTTTGGGTGTAGGGTCTGATCAGAGCCTGAAGGTATGGAGGTGCCGTTCCCCTCACAGCTCCGTAGGCATGCACCATGGTCTTGTAGTAGATGCAAGCCTCAACTGGAAGCCAGTGGAGTGTACGGAGGAGCGGGGTGACATGAGAGAACTTGGGAAGGTCGAACACCAGATGGGCTGCAGCGTTCTGGACAAGTTGTAGGGGTTTAATGGCACAGGCAGGGAGCCCAGCCAACAGCGAGTTGCAGTAATCCAGACGGGAGATGACAAGTGCCTGGATTAGGACCTGTGCCGCTTTCTGTGTAAGGTAGGGTCGTACTCTGCGAATGTTGTAGAGCATGAACCTGCAGGATCGGGTCACCGCTTTGATCTTAGCGGAGAACGACAGGGTGTTGTCCAGGGTCACGCCAGACATGCAGAGATGCGATTCGCCACCTGGTTATCAGAAGGGGGAAAGGAGAAAATGAATTTTGTGTTGTCTGCGAAGCAATGATAGGAGAGACCATGTGAGGATATGACAGAGCCAAGTGACTTGGTGTATAGAGAGAATAGGAGAGGGCCTAGAACTGAGCCCTGGGGGACACCAGTGGTGAGAGCATGTGGGGCGGAGACAGATTCTCGCCACACCACCTGGTAGGAGTGACCTGTCAGGTAGGACGCAATCTAAGTGAGCAGCGCCGGAGATGCCCAACTCGGAGAGGGTGGAGAGGAGGATCAGATGGTTCACAGTAGATATGGCATATAGAAGCAAACCGGATGGACATCATGAAAATGATCGGAGAGGTTGAGGGTAGAGGAAGTTCAGGAGTAAAAACAAACAAAATATAATTATTGTAAAATTGACTGTGTCCATAAAATGTATATAGTATGTATAAGCTGGAAGTAGAGGCCTAAGCCTTGTTGTTCACTAGTTTACTCCAATTAGGGAAGGGGTGGTGGGGTTGGAAAGTAATGAAGGGAAATATATATTTTTAAAGGATATGTATATATGTATGTATATATACATATGTATGTGTACAGTTGAAGTCGGAAGTTTACACACACCTTAGCCCAATACATTTAAACTCAGTTTTTCACAATTCCTGACATTTAATCCTAGTCAAAATTCCCTGTCTTAGGTCAGTTAGGATCACCACTTTATTTTAAGAATGTGAAATATGTCAGAATAATAGTAGAGAGAATGATTTATTTCAGCTTTTATTTATTTCATCACATTCCCAGTGGGTCAGAAGTTTGCATACACTCAATTAGTATTTGGTAGCATTGCCTTTAAATTGTTTAACTTGGGTCAAACATTTTGGGTAGCCTTCCACAAGCTTCCCACAATAAGTTGGGTGAATTTTGGCCCATTCCTCCTGACAGAGCTGGTGTAACTGAGTCAGGTTTGTAGGCCTCCTTGCTCGCACACGCTTTTTCAGTTCTGGCCACAAATGTTCTATAGGATTGATGTCAGGGCTTTGTGATGGCCACTCCAATACCTTGACTTTGTTGTCCTTAAGCCATTTTGCCACAACTTTGGAAGTATGCTTGGGGTCATTGTCCATTTGGAAGACCCATTTGGGACCAAGATTTAACTTCCTGACGGATGACTTGAGATGCTGCTTCAATATATCCACATAATTTTCCTTCCTCATGATGCCATCTATTTTGTGAAGTGCACCAGTCCCTCCTGCAGCAAAGCACCCCCACAGCATGATGCTGCCACCCCCGTGCTTCACGGTTGGGATGGTGTTCTTCGGCTTGCAAGCAATCCCCTTTTTCCTCCAAACATGACGATGGTCATTATGGCCAAACAGTTCTATTTTTGTTTCATCAGACCAGAGGACATTTCTCCAAAAAGTACGATCTTTGTCCCCATGTGCAGTTGCAAACCGTAGTCTGGCTTTTTTATGGCGGTTTTGGAGCAGTGGCTTCTTCCTTGCTGAGCGGCCTTTCAGGTTATGTCGATATAGGACTCGTTTTACTGTGGATATAGATACTTTTGTACCTGTTTCCAAGGATGAACCAGACTTGTGGAGATCTACAATTTTCTGAGGTCTTGGCGGATTTCTTTAGATTTTCCCATGATGTCAAGCAAAGAGGCACTGAGTTTGAAGGTAGGCCTTGAAATACATCCACAGGTACACCTCCAATTGACTCAAATGATGTCAATTAGCCTATCAGAAGCTTCGAAAGCCATGACATTTTCTGGAATTTTCCAAGCTGTTTAAAGGCACAGTCAACTTAGTGTATGTAAACTTCTGACCCACTGGAATTGTGATACAGCGAATTATAAGTGAAATATTCTGTCTGTAAACAATTGTTGGAAAAATTACTTGTGTCATGCACAAAGTAGATGTCTTAACCGACTTGCCAAAACTATAGTTTGTTAACAAGACATTTGTGGAGTGGTTGAAAAACGAGTTTTAATGACTCCAACCTAAGTGTATGTAAACTTCCGACTTCAACTATATATGCATGTCTGTGTATGTATATATATATATATATATATATATATATATATATATATATATATATATATATATATATATATATATCTATATATATATATATATATCTATATATACATATTTGCGAGAAAAAAAACATATGGGGGATTAGAGGTGATGCAGACAATTACATTGATGGAAGTTACAATCTATCTGCAATATTAAAGCTGATCTACCCCCTAAAAAAAAAACGTATCACTCAATTGTCAATTTATCTCTAATTCGTTATCCCTACAGCTCTCTCATCCTCCCTAGAGCTCCCTAGTAATGCATATATCATTCTCTCTCTCTCTCTCTCTCTCTCTCTCTCTCTCTCTCTCTCTCTCTCCCTCGCTCTCTTTCTTTCTCTCAAATAAATGTCCCTAGGTTGCGTTCATACCCCACCTCCTCCTCCCTCTCCCGTGAGACTATTCGCTCCCTGGTGTTCTACGCCCTGAGGGTGTGGGCGGAGCCAACCCCGCTGGAGTTCCACGAGGTCAGTCTCTTTCCCTAGACGTTCCTTTTTGTAATAGTTGATTACAAAGATTACCCCTCACGCTCTTTCTTTCTTTCTTTCTTTCTTTCTTTCTTTTCATTTTCTTGGCTTGAGGAGGTTCTTTCTTTCTTTCTTTCTTTCTTTCTTTCTTTCTTTCTTTCTTTCTCTCTCTCCCCTTCTGACTTCACTTCCTGTTTCTCCCGTTGCCAGGTGGGAGGCCCAGAAGGGGCGGATCTGCAGGTGGACTTCCACCACGGTTTCCATGGTGACGGCTACCCCTTCGATGGTGCAGGAGGAACTGTTGGCCACGCCTTCTTCCCCTCTGACCTCGCCAGAGCGGGCGGAGTACACCTGGATGCCGAGGAGGAGTGGGTGTTCCGCCAGCCAGGTGAGTGACAGCCAGAAGACCCAGAGACAGCAAAAATAGGTACTGGGGGATTCAAGAGCCCAATACCAAACCAAACACTAGCCCTTACCCCTAGGAACTTCTTGTAGAACTGAAAGTTAAGGGCAAGTATTTGCATTAGTGTGATAGCTCCGTGCAGCCCTCTGGTAAGCTAGGTATAATTTATGGTCGACTCTCCACTGTTTAATCATCCTGAGGTTTACAATAGTAAGGGGTTCAATTTGGAGAATATTATGGACACAGTCAAGACACTGCTAACATTCCCCCTAAACTGAAACTCTACACCTCCCCACCCCCACAACCATTGCCCCTCCCCAGCCTCTGAGGGAACAGACCTGTTCACCGTGCTGGTGCATGAATTTGGCCACGCCCTGGGTTTGTCCCACTCATCTGCCAGGCGCTCTGTGATGAGACCTTACTTCCAGGGCCCCGTAGGAGACCCTCTACATTACCGCCTGGGCCCGCACGACCTGGAGCTCATCACCAGGCTCTATGGTCAGTCTGTGTGTGTGTGTGTGTTTATTATTACTTGTCCACTTAGTGTGGGTGTGTGTGTCCTCCTGTTTGTGTACTGAATTCTGAAAGGAAGGTGTTGTGTTGGCAGGTAATAGAAATCACCTCATGGTCACAGACGTTCCTCGGTTGTCTCCTGAACCTCAGCTGCAGTATCGTGACAGACATGGACATCGACACAGACACAGGTACTGACACACTACAGACACAGGTACTGACAGGTTAACAAAAGTGGATAAGGGACAGCCACTCAACCAATAACTATCTCCCCAATCCCTCCCTCCCTCCCTCCCCTCCCTCCCTCCCTCCCTCCCTCCCTCCCTCCCTCCCTCCCTCCCTCCCTCCCTCTCCTCCTCTCTGTTGCTCTCTCCTTTTCTTTCAGCCATTCTGTAGACCGCTGTAACACTAGCTTTGATGCAGTGGCCAAGATTAGGGGAGAGACGTTCTTCTTTAAAGGTGAGTGTGGTGTAGGTTGGCTCCCTATCGGTTGGGTACTGCTTTGACTATTTCCCCTAGGCATGATCGCCCCCTGGTGGATGTATCCACAACTGCAGGACTGTGTATTGAACTCCTCTCTGTCTCACCTCACCTCTCTTTATCTGTATCTGTCCTTCACCCAATACTCCCCTCTCTATTACTACCCTGACTATCCTGCCTTATGCCTCTCTACCCCCCCCCCCCCCCCCCCTCCCCCTCTGGCAGGGCTGAGTATGTGGAGGGTCAGTACTGGGGGGCTGGTGTCGGGCCGGGGGGCCTCGGTGAGGAGGCTGTGGAGGGGGCTACCACCTAACCTGCCCCCTCTGCAGGCTGTGTTGGAGAGACACTCGGACCACGCCATCATCTTCATCACTGGTTGGTAACCTCTGACCCCAGTCACCCCACACAATATGAGGTTGGAATAATGCTTTGAAAGCTGTTTGAAAAGCTGTCTGAAATTTCTGCCTGTTTTGGTGGGATGGAGTTTTGGCCTGCCTGGTGACATCATCATGTGGTAAATTAGTTAATAGACCAATAAGAAAGAGAGTTCCAAACCACTCTGCCAATAACAGCTAATTTTCAGTTTTCCCCCCCCACTCCCAGACAGAAATTGCTCTTTGCTACGAAGCTATTTTTGTTTATTTTTGACCATTTCAATTTAAAACAATCACATTAAGGTACTTAATTGTTACAGAGAAATTATTTGATATTGAGATAAAAATGGCTGCATTGGGCCTTTAACAACAGAGGAGAATTAGTGCTGTTCAACAGACTAAACTATGTTCTTGATTCTAGTTTCTCTCTCCACCCGTATTCATATACCCTTATGAATGAATTATAAACCAGACCACAATCTTGAGGACACTCTTCATTGCCTCTTTCCGTTTTGTTTTGTAGAGTCCCAGTTTTGGCTGTTCAAGGGCCTCTCTCTCCATGAGGACTACCCCCGCCCCTTGTCAGCCCTGAGGAAATGGGGAGAGACAGAAGGAAAGGGAGGAGGAGAGGAAGGAGAGGGGGAGCAGGGCCTGCTGTGGGATCCAGAGGAAGGACCAGTGTGGGGGGAGATTGGAGAGGGGGGAGCAGGAGGAGGAGAGGAAGAAGAGAGTGACGCCTGGGCTGAACTTATCAGAGGAGGAGTGAATGGGATTACCACTGAGAGAGACGGTGAGAGAGAGAGGGAGAAAGAGAGAAAGTGTGTAAGAGAGAAAGTGAGTGAGAGAGCGATGAATGAGGAGAACAGCCTGTGAGTGACAATGTGAAAGATTATATGTGTGTGAGACACCTCACATAATGTACAATACATGTGTGAGTGTATTTATATCAACATAGATTAAGCCCCCTCCTATATCACGTCCACAGGCTCTGTGTATCTCTTCAAAGGAGATTCCTATTGGAAGTTCTCCTACCCAGGCTCTGCCCCGGAGGCAGGATATCCTCGATCCCTGGCCACCGATTGGTTGGACTGCCCTCACCCCTCAGCACCTGTCCAAGACAACTTTTCTCTCTCTCTGCCTACCCCTACTGGACGGCAGGAGTTCCGCGAGAGGGGGAGAGAAGAGAGGGGAGGCCAGAGGAAGGGCCAGGGCCTGGACAGACACAGAGACATAGACAGAGAGGGACTGCAGCACTTGCCCTGCACTTGCCTGAATGGAGCAACAAGAGGCAGCGTGAGCGTGACATCATTCATAAGTGCCCTGCTGTTGACTCTCCTTCCCCTGATAACTGTGTGATGTTGGGCTACGTCCCAATACTCTACAATGGCCTCCCCCCTCTCACCCCCATCTATCCCATGGCTACGTCCCAATACTCCACGATGGCCTCCCCCCTCTCACCCCCTTCTATCCCATGGCTACGTCCCATAACTACAACGGCCTCCTCCTCTCACCCCATCCATTCCCTTGGCAAGCCAGAGGTTGTGGCTGCCATTTTCAATAGTGCTAGGCCCTTTCTCACCTTCCTCTATGACAAAGTTTCCCATGCACCCTTACAATCCATTATACATACCTACACTTAGGGCTGTGGTATAGGGGTTAGGAGAAGTTGGGAATTTTGGACACAACCAAGAAGTCCCTCCACACCAAAGGAGGAATGTTTGTCCTGGACATTTGGATATGTCAGCAGAGTCTGTCTCTGTCTATCTGTGAAATGTATCCCTTTGCACCTTGTTGTACAGCCAACGCTCAATGATTGTGTAATTTTGGCCAATTTCAGAAAATGTTATCTAACAAAATAAAATAAAAATAAAACATTGTCTTCTGTGTTCATTGTTAAACCATAGATGCAGATGTCTAATTTATATTTGATACTAAAAGCAATAAAAGTAAGTCAACGTTTGGTTTATAGTTCACTGTCAAAATGTGTCTCTTGGGGTGTTGCCCCTGACCAAACCAAACAAACTATAAATAATTGATAGTTGTAGAGGTCCAATGGTTTAATCATGATGTCACTGCACTCTAGAGTTCAACCAGATGTAAATTGACCTTGGAGATCAGTAGGAGCCTAGGCCCCACAGGCTGTTTTGGGTAACTTCAGTATTGCGTAACTTGGGGAGAAACATTCTCTTCAAACACTCCAGTCTTACCTCAGTATAAATTGAAGGTGTTTCAGCTCATTGACAACCAAGGCTTCCTTCTTGCTAAGACTTACTTCTCTGCAGGCTCAGTTTATCTTGATATACACGATGTGTGTCCTCTACGTGGCCCCCCTCCTTGCTCTGTTGCAGTGGCGACCCGTCATTCAGGACAGGGCACCTATTTTGAGCCCCACATTTTTGGGGGGTGTTGCCTGTTTTGCATGTTATTTTGGCATTAATAAGTGTCACATATCAATTTGCAAACAATGTAAAAATATTTTTTTATCATTGAGTTAATAAAGCCGCATACAAACATGGTCTCTTTTTTGCTTTCTTGAGTAAGGCAGCTCCAAAATGCAGGTGTTTCAGCCTAGCTCAGTGCTTTCTGTGGTGGTGGGGCAGCCAGCGGAAAATATGGAGCGTAGGGATTGGTAATGTTCTCTAGTTGTGCCAATCAGTCACTGCCAAATCTAAGGGTAGAGCTCGAAAATTCAAGCCCCTTGGGCGCTGCCATAGAGTTACATTAGAAGTGCCCATCCAAGAAGCCTCAAGGTCATTGGCCACAGATAAAATGAAGTCAAATCACGTTATATCTACAGTAGCTTTGATTGGACTGATCATGTCAACATCATACTTTCAAAATCTTAGCTAGCAGTCATCATCATGAATCAAGTCGACAATCTACTGGCAAATCCTTTTTAATCCTTGTCATATGAAGAGAAATAATGAAGAGAAATTATAGATAAAACGTATCGGTGCTCATCGGCCATTGGACATAAACATTACACAAGTTGGAAATCGCAAATTCAACAATGAGTGGTTTGGAAGGAATCAGTGGCTAACTGCAAGCATTGCAAAGCAATGACTAGCCCGCTATTCAGTGGAGTGGCCATGTGGTCCTAAGTCTGGGTTTAAGGGTCTCTTTTCCAAGCTTAAAATGATAAACATTCAACATTGGTCATACTGTCAATCCAGCATGATTTCTGCCACGCTCAAAACAACTGTTAACTCAGAACTGGGAAATCTGACTTCAGTGAGTTCAAGACAACTTGGAACTCTGAAAAAACTAGCTCCGACTGGGAAAATATGTTTTGAATGGTCATCCAACTCGAAATTGTAAGTTGGGAATTCGGGCCTCTTTCTAGAGCTACGACCTGAAGATCACTGACATCATCATGATTCAACCTTGTTTTTTTCCGAGTTCCCAGTTGTCTTGAAAGCACAAAAAATCCAGATTTGCCCACGAACGACCGCCGCGCCACCTTCCTGTTCAAATGAGCACAACAAGGTGAGTCCAAAAATGTCTTGCATGCTGCTGCATAAATTATGTAATATGGCAGGGAGATGTATACTGTAGCTAAGAAAGTAATACTAAGTGTATGTTGTGTAGTAAGCTGTTAGTATCCCATGTGCCTCACCCTAATAATTTGTTATATTTTCCCCTCTTAATTTCGCCTACTGTTCTGACTTGGTGGTGCATCTGTAGCCTATAACCTGTTTTAGAGAAATGTCATCATCGAATATTGTAAGAGCTTTCATTGTTTGCTTATATGCCCCCTTTATTTATCCTACGGTTCTGACTCGATGTACAGGGAGAATACTGTAAGAACGGCTCATGTTCTAAATTCTGTCGCTGTTCATTTTAAAAGTGCTGAACAAATAGTTGTATTGACTATGTCCGTCCTAGCTCGCTCATTAATGTCTTAATCGAAATTACGGATTGCCTCTTATCCGCTTGTCGTCCCCTTATGCCATAGTTTGTACATCTCAATTGTCAGTAGAAACCACATTTGTTTAAGCAAGTCAGCCATATCAGCTTTATGTAGGCCCTAACAGTTTGTGGGCACCCTTTGTCACCGTTATAGTGCAATTAATGTATTATTTAGTGTTGTGTTGTGTAGTGGCTTTGCTGGCATGCATCCCCATTTTTTGTTTTTTGTTTGCCCCACCAAGATTTACATGCTAAAATCGCCACTGCTCTGTTGTCTGTGGGAACAGCAGCACCGGCCCCAGAGGATTGTGGACATCTGGTGAAACCACTCGCACCAGAAGAGCAACATACTGTGAGTACATCACCTATATCTATAGTGGGCCTTAGCCTAAGCCATAGTGGTGTTGGGTATGTTAGAAATAGTGATGATTTCCAATTTGTGAACTGAATCTAAAGGCATTTGACTCCAATTTATAGACAGTGTTTATAGGCAGAATACAACCTCTGCCCTCAGGCACTATGCTCACCATACAAATAGTGCTATGAAACGGAAATGTATGAAATGAAATGACAGACCAATACATTTCACCACAGATCTTTGGGAAGTGGGTCTTCATCAAGAGTTTCTCGGACCATGAGATGTTCAATGCGATACTGAGAAAGACCAACAGCTCCTGGATTGAATTCTTTCCCACTTCACACAACAAGACAGTCCTTCTCAACCAGGGAAACTTGATGTAAGTGATAGTAACTCTCTATAGCTTTGTCTCCAATCCCTTGTGTAATGTATTGTTAGATACAGTGGCTATGTGAAGAGACATACAGCTCTAAGAAAAGCCTATTAAAGTGTATCTACCTAATGATCATCTCATTTCCTCTGCCAGTGATGGAAAATGCCTCAACTCCTCTGTCAACATTACCTTTTCCAAAAACAGTTTGCAAGTCACATTTAAGTAAACTATTGTTGACTGGCTGACCTGCTTCAATTCAACATCCTATGCCAGATTATCAAATAGAAAAGATGCTGTTAAATTACTCCTAACCCAGATTATCAGATAGAAAAGATGCTGTTAAATTACTCCTAAACCAGATCATCAGATAGAAAAGATGCTGTTAAATTACTCTGAGAGTTACTGTGTGTTTTCTTACATAGAGAATATTGTGACTTCCACGGGACACTTCCTGCAAACCTACCCTGACTGTCTACTCATGCACAGCAGTACTACCATGGCCGGAGTGCATATCCCATCTCTCTATATCTTGGGTAGGTGTGTGCGCACGTGAGCTTTTGAGACCTCCTGTAGCTCAATTGGTAGAGCATGGCGCTTGCAATGCCAGGGTTGTGGGTTCGATTCCCACGGGGGGCCAGTATGAAAAATGTATGTACTCACTAACTGTAAGTCGCTCTGGATAAGAGCTTCTGCTAAATGACTAAAATGTAAAATGTAATGGCCAGATAATACCCAAAAATGTACGCAAAAGCTTTTGAAAAACATGAACCTTAGTCAATCAAGTCATGGAATCAACAAGTTTATTTTCCTCTTTCCAGGGAAGACCAGGACACTGCCGGAGTCAGAGTTGAAGCATTTCCGGAAAGCAGCAGAATGCCTCCAGTGTCCTCAGCCTGCACAGTATTCATTATTTACCCTAACCCTAACCTACTCATCAAAAGGGACACCAGGCAACATTTAGTATTGATTTAGAATCTTGTCATTTAACAGTCTAGAATAGATCTCTATTGGCTGAGTGCTTGTGTGTTTAGAACCTTGTTCAAGTTCTCACTAACGTCTCCTCTCTTCTCTCTGCAGAGTTTGCACTGAGATGAAAGAGAGCTTGCACGTTGCTGAGTCTCAAGATGAAAAGGATGGTTCACAGTGATATGGCTACGGATGATGGAATGGTTGCATTAATAAAATCATTTGTACTGTAATAAGATGTTTGTGTTTCTTGACAATCTTTTGAAATGCATCCTTATCCATTAATACAGACAGGCAGGCATGCTCGCAGACAGACAGACAGACATGCAGACAGGAAGACAGACAGACAGACAGACAGACAGACAGACAGACAGACAGACAGACAGACAGACAGACAGACAGACAGACAGACAGACAGACAGACAGACAGACAGACTGGCAGGCAGACAGGCAGACAGACAGGAAGACACACAGACAGGCAGACAGACTGACAGGAAGACAGACAGATAGACAGACAGGAAGACAGACATACAGACAGACAGACAGACAGACAGACAGACAGACAGACAGACAGACAGACAGACAGACAGACAGACAGACAGACAGACAGACAGACAGACAGGAAGACAGACAGAAAGACAGACAAACAGGCAGACAGACAGGCAGGCGGGCAGGCAAGCAGGCAGAAAGACAGATAGAAAGACAGACAGACAGACAAACAGACAGACAGACAGTAGTTTCTACACAGTGAGGTTGTTCATTAGAATATGGGATTCACATTAAGGCCAAATACAAAGCTACATTTCCATGCATAACCTTGTACTATGGCCCATTACCTAAACCAAACACACAGAAGACAGCAGCTCTAGGATTAAATAAACACTAAATGCATTAATCATTATCAAAGCTGCCAAAGCATTTCTGAGTTCCTGAACGTTGTCACAGTACCCATGGTGGTATCCATAGCCCCAGGGTCACCCCTATTCCACTTAAAGGGGAATAACGGCAAATTTCGAAAATGTGTCTATATTCCTAAACCCTTCTGACTCGTTGTTGGACTGTCTGTCAATGTGCGTACCTCTCTCACTCAGGGAGAGCGAGGTAGAGCTGCAGAATGTCACAGGGTTATCCAGCTCACCACTCACTGCAGCTCTAGATAGAACTTTGTGGAATAAGGCAAATCTATGAAAAATGTAAACATTCTGTCACAGCAGGGGCAGACTGGGACAAGAATTCGGCCTTGGCATTATCCACACCAGCCCACATTATTGCGTGTGCCGCCAACAGTGGAGGCTGATGAGGGGAGAACTGCTCATAATAATGGCCGGTACGGAGCAAATGGAATGGCATCCCTGGAAACCATGTGTTTGATGTATTTGATACCATTCCACTGATTCCGCTCCAGTCATTACCACGAGCCGTTTTCCCCAATTAATGTGCCACCAACCTCCTGTGGCCGCCAACTCACCCCCACCCCACACCATGTTTTTTGTTTTTCAATAGCGATGAATTACATACATCTTTATGTGCACTAACTAGGCTAATTAATTTGGGGTTAAACACCTGAGGAAGTGGAAACACATGAACTAGATCACTAACTCTAAATATACTACCCACTGCTAGTAGCCATGTATTCATCCAAGAGGAAATGTAATTCCTAAAAAACACTTGGCAGTTGTAGGCTACTGCCCATAAAACCTATAGGCCTATGCCCTCGCAATGGCCGGTGCGCATTTCGCGCACGCCGCTCCATATCTCAAAGCCTTATCAAATATCTTGTTTGTAAAATAGTTGCTATTAAACTGAATATTAAATTATTAAATTATACCTACAGAAAGCTCAAGTTTCAAGTTTTATGTATGTACAGGATACACATGGTATACAGCGTCCAACAAAATGCTTACTTGCAGGTTCCTTCTCGACAATGTAACAACAATAAGAAATAATAAAAGATAAGAATATGAACATAAAGTAAATGGCTCAGTAGAATAGAATAAACACTTTAGCATAAGTATAATACAGGAAGGCACGATTTATAGTCCAATATTTACACATATATCAGAGAAAGGGGGATTGGGAAGCAGGTGTTTAAATTGTGCAGTATTAGCAATACTAAATAAGAGTCCGGTAGCAGCAATTGTGATATGTATGTTGCTACAATGTATATGTGTGTGTGTATCTGTGTGGGTGTGTGCGTGAGTGGGCGAGTGCATGTGTGCTAAGGTGCAGAGTCGGTGCAGGTGGTCAGTCCAGTTCAAGTGCTCAGCAGTCTGATGGCTTGTAGATAGAAACTGTTTCTGAACCTGTTGGTATCAGACCTCATGCTCCAATACCGTATGCCGTCCTCTCTTCGACAGGGACAAGGGGACCAAGCTTTGAAAGCAGTGTTTTTCCCGAAATTGCTTTTTTGAAATATTATAATATCAGATTTTTTTTTTTCTCACGAGTGCATGGGGTAGAGAAGAGTGGCTCACTTATTACAGCAAAACAGGCACAGGGGCAGGGCACATACTTTCATTACAGGAATCATAAGGATAGTACACTTTACTGTTTGACCAAATCATGGTTTTAGCCATCCAAAAATAGGAAGTTTGGAGTGAGGTGACAATGTAGAATGTGTTCTTTCTACGTTTATAAGCACCCTTTCCGTTTCTTACAATCCATGATCTTGGCTGTCTAACTGATGACAGAGTCGGATTGGGTCTCTTTGCTGATGTTTGAAAATGTATGCACTCACTACCTGTAAGTCGCTCTGGATAAGAGTGTCTGCTAAATGACTAAAATGTCAAATGTTTGACTTTGAATGTGAGTTTGTGCGACATCAGGTGTTTTTGACCCTCTCTCTCTCCCTCCCTCTCTCTCTCTCTCTCTCTCTCTCTACCGCACCTGCTGTCTCGACCTCTGAATGCTCGGCTATGAAAAGCCAATTGACATTTACTCATGAGGTGCTAAACTGTTGCACCCTCTACAACCACTGTGATTATTATTTGACCCTGTTGGTCATCTATGAACGTTTGAACATGTTGAAGAACGATCTGGCCTTAATGGCGATGTAGTTTTATAATCTCCACCCGACACAGCCAGAGGAGGACTGGCCACCCCTCAAAGCCTGGTTCCTCTCTAGGTTTCTTCCTAGGCTCCTGCCTTTCTAGGGAGTTTTTCCTAGCCACCGTGCATCTTCATCTGCATTGCTTGCTGTTTGGGGTTTTAGGCTGGGTTTATGTATAAGCACTTTGTGACATCTGCTGATGTCAAAAGGGCTTTATAAATACATTTGATTTTATTTGATCAGCTCAGCCTATCAGAAAACCGGGCTGGCCCATCTTTGTAGAGGGGCCGGCCGTTGCCCACTGATCAGCCAACGGCTCATTATAGATTAGAAAAACAGAGAAATTGCGCAAAAATCTTAACAGCCACCAGCCATGTCACGTCACCTTTTCATTTTTGTATTTGTATATAAAAATATATATTTTTGGGTGTGTAAATTTCAACCAGCCCACCCAACTAAAAATGGTCCACCACATCTGGCCTTTGAAAGAATTGCCAGATGGCCAATCCACCCCTGTGTCACAGCGAAAATACTACATTCGTGAAGTCCAATCGATTGTGAGATATGGCATATACATTTTAAACATTTGCGATACATTTGGGTCGCGGGTTCAACATTTTAGATTTTCTGAGATCTCTGCGGAGCAAAGGGGCTAACCTAATCCCGCCTGCCACTTTTATCTTGCAACCCGATTGGACATAATTTCACCTGCCAATCAACATTGTCCATCTTCGCTCCCTGACTAGGCTACATCCCTCGTTGAACACAAAAATAAAATACAAAAAAATAAGACTTAAAATACAAATGTATACATCAAATGGTATGATCAGATTATTACGGCAAAATATATCTACTAAAATGTGAGGGAAAGACTAGTAAGTGCAGCATAACGTCCACTTCATTGGATGACACATAAGGGCTAAAAGGCTAATTTATGTAACAAATGTTTCATTAGATTGTAGTTTGGTTACAGTAGCCAGCTGACAGCGAACATATCCTTGTAAATTTATTTATGTTGCAGGTACTGATGCATGCATCTATCGAAATGCGATTTATGCTCACTGTCCAAGTTTTCATTGGGGTAGATCAATAATGCTATTATTACATTTATTAGCCAATATTTACATTTTCAAATCGGTAGAATAATGACAATCATTTACAAAATGATACCCTGGATTTTGTTTGCAAGCCAGGGCCAAATTCCCTTCTTCGAGCGAGCAAGATAATGTGATAATGTAGGCTAATCTTATGAAATGTAAAAGTATTCTTATAGCCTATGTTTGCATCAAATACCCTTGCATCAAAAACCTACTCCTTGAAAGTCGCGTATTGATTAATGATGATCACTGCAATCAAAAGCCATATCATGGAATAGGCTATGTGAAAGTTTATAAAGACAAAAGGCTGACATTTGGATGGATGGTTGACATGACAGAAAGGTAGGCGGATATTTTCATATAAAATGTGGGTGAAACTTTGCTTCAGTATACATTTCTCGAGCTCGTTATAGTGTTGTTTCGCGCACGGGACTCGAGCCTGGATGGACTCGCGCCAAAATTCAAACAAAATACACCAGCGACCAGTGGCGGCTGGTGAAAAATATTCTCGGTGGGGCTGTGCCATACTTTTTTTTTCCTGTAACCATCGCAATATATTTTAACACAAACTGCAGGACAGCAGTGCTCAGTGAAACATTCAGTAATTATTTAATGCCAATATTAAAAAGTTGAGGCATTCTTACACAAAAACATATTACACAAACCCAAGCCTTTCATTTGCATTTAAAGTGAACTTTTCACCATTGGTAGTAAACAGGCAACGCAACAGGCATGCTGTCAGAACAGAGTGGAAAGTGGACAATAACATGAAATTATTATAAAGTTTATAGGAAATCTTACACTGTATAAAAGGATGTATAATGTAGAAATGGATATCAAGTGGATGAACTCAAACCTTTGACTGGAAGAATAGCATACAGTATTTTATGATCATACTAAATGTGACTAATTGTTAATGTGCTCCAGAACTGCAACAATTAATTGATACAAAACAACATATATACAGTAATATTAGCAAAGACACTATTAAGACTTTCTAGAGTACCATATATAACTGGATTTTTTATGCTAAGGTCAACTATATACAAAGAAACATGCGGCCAGAGCTGCTCTGTGTGTGTGTGTCTGTCATCTTATTTGTACAGGAATTTTGCCCGTCTGTCCTTCTGAGTGGCAAACCTCTCAATGACCCTTTGATTAAAGTCAGGAATGTCCCTGACAAGTTTCTTCTCCATGGAGAGCATGGCCAGAGCGTTCAGGCGATCCTGTGTCATGCTGTTTCTCAGGAAGGTCTTGATCCTTTTCAGTGTAGAGAAGCACCTTTCTGACTCAGCAGTTGTCATGGGTGTGGTGATGAGGATCTTGAGGAGGCTGGCAGTCTCTGTGAAAGTGCTCTGAAGGTTGTTCTCCATGAAGAACTGGTACAGGGGCACTGCACCACTACAAGCCTTGAACTCACTGTTCTCATAGATGAGGGACAGTTCGGTTTTGAGCTTGGCCTTGTTCAACATGGGGTACGCCTCCACGGTTGTTTCAAGCGCTGTTTCGGGGAACTTCACACTGTGTTGTGGGAACAACTCTCCGTGCAATAGTGTTGCGCTGATGAGGTGCTGGGTGAAGGAGAACCTCTCTTTGGCATGACTCAGGATGGTATCACATACCTGTAAAAGATACATCATCAGCTTTAATTTGCAATTAAGCTATTTTGATGCAAGTGATCCTGACTGACACATGCCTATGTCCAACTCAAGTATATGATTACCAAGGTGCTGATTGTTCAGGGTTTTGGCTACATACTACCAGGCCTGAAAAAAGTTATAGGGGGAAACACTGACAATTACATCACAACTTACCTCTATAGCCAACCTCTGTTGTTCTCCTGGTCCCAGCATCCTCCGTCGCTTGATGGGCTGTTGCTGCTCGTCAGATGCGCTGTCCCCACACAAAGAGGGAATTGAGGCCCTGGGTCCAAAAAATAAAGTTTAATTTGATAACTTGCAATCAGACTTCTTAACTCACTGTAATTCCCCCTCAACACACAACCAGTGACTTTTATATATATATATATATATAGACAGACAGACAGACAGACAGATAGTGTGTATATACACACAAACTATGTCTAGTAACTGCTTTTAACCTGTGATGTACATAATTAACTGATGTTATTACGTTTTAAAGCCTTTTTCTATTACATTTGTGAGAGGGATGCAACATCATTTTGTTCTGCTGTGCACTTAGCAATAAAGCTAATCTTCAATAACAACTAGGCCTCTTCTAGAAATTGACCTGGTGGACACCTGAATAATTATTACAAACTGTGTAGTACTTTCCTGCATTATTATCAACGTCTGATTGTGTCTTCTCTTTCCTTTTAAAATACTAAAACAAATATAATTGTGACGGCTCTATGATAATCACTCACTTTGATGACCAGACACATTTAGGCTTTTAAACTGTTGTAAGTGAACTATTCATCTTTCTAACAACATCTTTATCAGCCAATAGTAAATATAGTTATTTACCTGATTGTTAGCATGCTGTCTGTGAACCTCTGGACAAGTGCTTTAATGAAGACAGGGTCGATGTTCCTCTTCTGCAGCTGGCTGAAAAGCATGTCCACATTTGGCATGATCTTGTGGAACAGTGCCAGGAAAAAACAGAAAGCCTCGTCTTCGAGCATCCTCACAAAGCCCCCCGCCTCTCTGACAGTCGGGGCATCAAAGTTCCCAGAGTCTCTGATGGTCTGGAAACACGTTAGGAGGTCATCCCTGTACTCGTACACAGTGTTTACAGCGCGACTGTGGAAGTTCCACCGTGTTGTAGAGGCTCTGGGGAGTCTATGCGCAACCACTTCGTCAAGCACGGTGGTTCGCTTGGGAGACCTGGAGAAGAAAGCAGAAAATCCTGCAAGGTCGGAAAAGAAAGTGCCGATCCTGGGGATGCGTGAAGTAGCCTGCTGCATGATGAGGTTCAGCTGATGTGCATAGCAGTGGACGTAGTGCGCATTTTCGTACACATCCACTATTTTACGCTGCACTCCGCCGGTGGCTCCCCTCATCACACTTGCTCCGTCGTAAGCCTGGGCAATAAGTTTGGCCTTTTGTCCATGTGAGAGTATGGTGCTGAGCCTCTCCAGCAGCGCTGTAGCGATGGTGTCGGCGGTTGCGTTCTCGATCAAAATGAACTCGAAAAAACGCTCTTGGACGTTACTTTTAGCATCGATGTAGCGTATCACAAGCACCAACTGGCAGTGGGTGGAAACGTCAGTCGTCTCGTCAGCTTGAATGGCGATAAAATCAGCACTCTTTACTTCCTCCAGGATGTAATCCTTAAGCACTGACAGCATACAGTCCAACAGCTCGTTCTGTATCGTCTTTGACGTGCCCTTAAAAACGGTAGCTGTCTTCAGGTGCTCCTCCAGCACACTGTCGAGGGAGGCAACAAAATCCACTAAGCCCCGGAAAATGCCGGGGTTGTCCGAGGAGTCAGTCTCCTCGTGCCCACGCAAGGCCAACTCAAAAGCCCCACAGAACTTCAAACAATCGATAATTTTGGATAGAATGTGCCTGTTTTTATCCACCTCCTCATTGTGTTTCCTCACCGCAATCCTGTGGCCGTCATCCAGCTGCGTAGCAATGTTCACCCTTCCTAATACAGCTAGCTTTACAGAGTTGTCCATGTGTGCCCTGGTGTTCTCATGTTTCTTTACCTTCTCTGACAGGTGCTTCATATCCCTCACTCCGGTACCTGTCCATGCTGAATCTGACCCCGTCGTTTTAAAAAGCAAGCACGGAAAGCAAAATAAAGCATTAGCATCAGTGCACCCAGCTAGCCAAGCCTTCCTGGTGTACCAGCTACGGGAGAAGCCGCGCATATACTGCTTCCCTTTCTCGCTAGCCTGCTGTCTGATTGAGAGGTCAGGTTGATCTGGGCCCAGCTCTTTCACCCGAACTTTCTCTGACAAAGTTCTCCTCTCAAACGGATCTTGGAGGAGAGATTTCACCGAGTTAGGGTTGGGTCTTGGAGGAGTAACGTTTGCGCTCGCCATTGTCGTCTAGTAAAAATGGCGCCACTGGAGCCCGGTCCTTATTTTATCAGGGGCGAGCTTGGGGCGATAAAATAATCGCCCTCCTTGGATTCGAATTAAAATCGCTGATTAGCTACATTTTATGTCATACATTCATATCTTAAATTAGCAATTGGCTTAACTGCTACGTAGACCCGCCTCCTCGGGGCACTTTCTGTATCGCCCAGAGCTGATGAGGCGTTTGACAGGCAGAGGAAAGGTTGCGAATATGATTTTCTATCATATCTTACACATATTACTGTGTGCATTCCATATTTCAAACACACAAATATTGACATACTGATGTTTTTATTATTATTATTATTATTTTTATTTATTTTTTATTTTATTTTTTTAAATAATTTTATTTAAGGGGGCGGCGCCCTAGCGCCCTCTATCGGCCAGCCGCCACTGCCAGCGACATCATTTAGGAGATTTAGGTTGTGAGCACAGTGTTTCCGATCAGATCGATAATTATATTCTAATGTTTTAATGTGGCTACGATGCCATCTTTAGAGCACATCATGTTCTGCTTAGTTTCCAGAACATTGAAAGAGAGAAATGAAATAGGCTACCACCGAGGTCTGGATATGCTTCTGACAATAGTAAAATGCGTGTTGTGTTGGGTGATGCGCTAAAGTCTGAGGTAGGCTAGTTTGAAAACCGGCGGTGTGTTATGTTCATGAGGAGCCCCCTCGTGTGTGTGTTGTTGCATGAGCTGGCTGCTTTTTCCTCCTTGCTAGTCAGAGATCTCAGAAAAGGTACAATTGTGAAACCGCGACCAAATGTATCACATAAAATGTATATGCCATATCTCACAATCGATTTGACTTTCCGAATTTAGTATTTTCGCTGGGTAGGAATGTTTAAATTTTTCATACATTTGCATTATTCCACAAAATTCTAGCGCAGCAGTGAGTGGGGGGGCTGCGTAACCCTGTGACATACAGTAGCTCTCGCTCTAGCTCTACCTCGCTCTCCCTGAGTGAGAGAGGTGCGCACTTTGACAGACAGTCCAACAACGAGTCAGCGGGGTTTAGGAACATAGACACAGTTTATAAATGTGCCGTTATTCCCCTTTAACGGCACTACCCTGGTCAAAAGTAGTGCTCTAGATAGGGAATAGGGTGCCATTTCGGATGTCCCCGGGTCAACCTGGAACACACTGAGGACAAAGTCAAACCACAGGCTGTAGCTATATTAGAGAGTGCTTCTGTGGCTCCCATAAGGTTCCAGTTTCCACCATGTGTGTTGTGTACTACCACGGTGTGGCTCTCCTGGCTCTGCTGGCAGTGAGCAAGGTGACCGCGGCACCGACGACTGAGCCACCAACTGAGGAGGACTGTGGTAAACTGGTCAAACCACTCCCTGCCGACAAGCTCAACACGGTGGGTGTTCGACCTATACTTTTTTTTTTAAGGAGTGGGAATTGATATTTTCTGATTTGATTGAATGCATACTGAGAGAGGATGCAAGGGGAAAGATAGAGGTTGTGTCAAAGAGCAGTGGGAGAGATTCATATCAATGCTGACACTGTAGACATGGGTGCCAGAGGCTGTAGCCTTACCACTAGACTACCCATGACTATTGCCATCACTTTGATCTTGCCTAATGTATATAATCTTTGGTAACACTTTACTTAAAGCTGGCAGGTATGATGCAGTATTAGTTATTATAAACATCTATGAGCATTTATGGTGTCTTTGTATCAGCCTTATAATATATAATGTCTATGTAGCAAATTCTCAACTGAAAAAGTGAATGCCAGTGTAATGAATGTTTCCCCACAGGTCTTTGGTGAATGGATTCTCATCGAGGCGTTTTCAGATGATGAAGGTTATGCCGAAAAACTAAAAATGGGAAAAAGCTCCAAGGTGGAACTACGAGCAACATCAAGCGAGAACAGTGTGCTTTTAAAACAGGGAAACATGATGTGAGTGGCTCCTTACTCTACTGCTTTGTCATAGGTTTTATGAACACATCTGGAACACTGACAGTTATGAGATATGAGGCAATCTCTGAATCTAACAGGCCATATCCTCTTATCTTTCAGTGACGACACCTGTGTTAATTACTCCATACAGAATATGACTGTTGTAGAGAACACCATACAGTTGACAAGTAAGTCAAATCCGTACCCTTCCCTTTCAAGTGTTAGTGGTGTGTGAAATACTGTACTGTAGCTAAATATGTAGCTAGCCCAGACCAGAAGTGGTTAACTGGCTGCTTCAATTCAACATCCTATGCTAATGCCAGATTTTCAAATATAAATGATACTGAGAGTTACTGTGTGTTTTTTTTTACATATAGAGGATAATGGAATTTCCAAGGCACACTTCCTGCAAGCCTGCCCTGACTGTCTCGTCATGCACTTCAGTAACACAATCACCGTGGCAGGGGTGCCCATCCGAATGGTCCGATCTTTCTATATCTTTGGTAGGTGTGTGTGTGTGCTTTTGAGTAGGTGGGTGTGTGGGTAAAGTGGGAGTGTGGAGAGGGGTGTTTGTGGGTGTCTATCTTTGTCAGAATTGACCCGATTGCCGTGTTTAAAAAGCCATTTTATTTTCCCTTTTCCAGGAAAGACTGGCAAACTTCACGAATCAGAGCTGGAGCCAATCAGAAAACAAGCCGAGTGCCTCAAGTTCCCTCAGCCTGCACAGTTCATCTATGATGGCGTTACAGGTACATTGTCTACTGATGAAATAACATTGTAACATTGACATTGTGATCCAATTCTAAATCTTTCTTTCCTTAAATTTCTTTGCAGAGTTTTGCCCAGAGACAAAGAAGAATGAGACCAAATAAAACATTGAGCTGGAATATGGAGAGCTGGAGCTGTAATCATATTCACGGGAGATACTGTTAGGAGAGAAATAAAACTGACTGAAATATTTTGCTCTTGTTGTTTTTTTTACTATTAATGGTGAAATCTGCGCTGTGATGGGTTGTCTCTCTCACTCATTCAGCCTCAAACATTGGCAGAACTGCCTGTCACTCATTTGTGACACAAGGTCTAGCAGAAAATCAGCCCTGTTTCTATTAAACCTGGTCACCCATGAATCGGTCGTACAGTGCGCTGCCTGACCAGAAAGTACTGGTGGCCTACCTTGGCTAAGGACGTGAGGGTTTATGTCTCCTGCTCGGTGAGCGCCCAGAGTGGTCCTCTGTAGCTCAATTGGTAGAGCATGGTGATTGTAACGCCAGGGTAGTGGGTTCGATCCCCGGGACCACCCATACGTAAAAATGTATGCACACATGACTGTAAGTCGCTTTGGATAAAAGCGTCTGCTAAATGGCATATTATTATTATTATTATAGTTAAGGCACCTAGGCACCTCCCAGCGGGTAAGTTACAGCCTTTACCAGTTCACAACGGCCATGGTCCCACCTGAGTTAAATTTCTTACTGATCTTCCCCTCTCTCAAGATAACACCATCATCCTGGTCGTTGTGGACCGCTTTTCCAAAGCCTGCCGCCTCCTTCCTCTGCCCAGTCTCCCCACAGCCCTGCAGACTGCGGAGGCCCTGTTTACACACGTCTTCCAGCACATTTTACATTTACATTTACATTTTAGTCATTTAGCAGACGCTCTTAACCAGAGCGACTTACAGGAGCAATTAGGGTTAAGTGCCTTGCTCAAGGGCACATTAACGTCATTTAGCAGACGCTCTTAGCCAGAGCGACTCACAAATTGGTGCATTCACCCTATAGCCAGTGGGATAACCACTTTACAATTTGGGGGGGGGGGGGGGGGGGGGGTTAGAAGGAATACTTTATCCTATCCCAGGTATTCCTTAAAGAGGTGGGGTTTCAAATGTCTCCGGAAGGTGGTGAGTGACTCCGCTGTCCTGGCGTCGTGAGGAAGCTTGTTCCACCATTGGGGTGCCAGAGCAGCGAACAGTTTTGACTGGGCTGAGCGGGAGCTGTGCTTCCGCAGAGGAAGGGGAGCCAGCAGGCCAGAGGTGGATGAACGCAATGTCCTCGTTTGGGTGTAGGGACTGATCAGAGCCTGAAGGTACAGAGGTGCCGTTCCCCTCACTGCTCCATAGGCAAGCACCATGGTCTTGTAGCGGATGCGAGCTTCAACTGGAAGCCAGTGGAGTGTGCGGAGGAGGGGGGTGACGTGAGAGAACTTGGGAAGGTTGAACACCAGACGGGCTGCGGCATTCTGGATGAGTTGTAGGGGTTTAATGGCACAGGCAGGGAGCCCAGCCAACAGCGAGTTGCAGTAGTCCAGACGGGAGATGACAAGTGCCTGGACCAGGACCTGCGCCGCTTCCTGTGTAAGGCAGGGTCGCACTCTCCGAATGTTGTAGAGCATGAACCTGCAGGAGCGGGTCACCGCCTTGATGTTGGCGGAGAACGACAGGGTGTTGTCCAGGGTCACGCCTAGGCTCTTCGCACTCTGGGAGGAGGACACAGCGGAGTTGTCAACCGTGATGGCGAGATCATGGAACGGGCAGTCCTTCCCCGGGAGGAAGAGCAGCTCCGTCTTGCCAGGGTTCAGCTTGAGGTGGTGATCCGTCATCCATACTGATATGTCTGCCAGACATGCAGAGATGCGATTCGCCACCTGGTTATCAGAAGGGGGAAAGGAGAAGATTAGTTGTGTATCGTCAGCGTAGCAATGATAGGAGAGACCATGTGAGGATATGACAGAGCCAAGTGACTTGGTGTATAGGGAGAAAAGGAGAGGGCCCAGAACCGATCCCTGGGGGACACCAGTGGTGAGAGCACGTGGTGCGGAGACAGCTTCCCGCCACGCCACTTGGTAGGAGCGACCGGTCAGGTAGGACGCAATCCAGGAGTGAGCCGCGCCGGAGATGCCCATCTCGGAGAGGGTGGAGAGGAGGATCTGATGGTTCACAGTATCAAAGGCAGCAGACAGGTCTAGAAGGACAAGAGCAGAGGAGAGAGAGTTAGCTTTAGCAGTGCGGAGAGTCTCCGTGACACAGAGAAGAGCAGTCTCAGTTGAATGACCAGTCCTGAAACCTGATTGGTTTGGATCAAGAAGGTCATTCTGAGAGAGATAGCAAGAGAGTTGGCTAAAGACGGCACTCTCAATAGTTTTGGAAAGAAAAGAAAGAAGGGATACTGGTCTGTAGTTGTTGACATCAGTGGGGTCGAGTGTTGGTTTTTTGAGGAGGGGAGCAACTCTCGCTCTCTTGAAGACGGAAGGGACATGGCCAGCGGTCAAGGATGAGTTGATCAGCGAGGTGAGGTAGGGGAGAAGGTCACCGGAGATGGTCTGGAGAAGGGAGGAGGGGATGGGGTCAAGCGGGCAGGTTGTTGGGCGGCCTGCAGTCACAAGTCGCAGGATTTTATCTGGAGAGAGAGGGGAGAAAGAAGTCAAAGCATAGGGTAGGGCAGTGTGAGCAGGACCAGCAGTGTTATTAGACTTAACAAACGAGGATCGGATGTCGTCAACCTTCTTTTCAAAGTGGTTGACGAAGTCATCCACAGAGAGAGAGGAGGGGGGGGGGGGGGGGGGGGGGGGAGGAGGATTGGGGGAGGATCAGGAGGGAGGAAATGTGGCAAAGAGCTTCCTAGGGTTAGAGGCAGATGCTTGGAATTTAGAGTGGTAGAAGGTGGCCTTAGCAGCAGAAACAGATGAAGAAAATGTAGAGAGGAGGGAGTGAAAAGATGCCAGGTCGGTAGGGAGTTTAGTTTTCTTCCATTTCCTCTCCGCTGCCCGGAGCTCTGTTCTGTGAGCTCGCAGTGAGTCATCAAGCCACGGAGCTGGGGGGGAGGACCGAGCCGGCCGGGAGGATAGGGGACACAGAGAGTCAAAGGATGCAGAAAGGGAGGAGAGGAGGGTTGAGGAGGCAGAATCAGGAGATTGGAGGGAGAAGGATTGAGCAGAGGGAAGAGATGATAGGATGGAAGAGGAGAGAGTAGTGGGAGAGAGAGAGCGAAGGTTGCGGCGGCGCATTACCATCTGTGTAGGGGCAGAGTGAGTAGTGTGGGAGGAGAGCGAGAGAGAAAAGGAAACAAAGTAGTGGTCGGAGACTTGGAGGGGAGTTGCAGTGAGATTAGTAGAGGAGCAGCATCTAGTGAAGATGAGGTCAAGCGTATTGCCTGCCTTGTGAGTAGGGGGGGACGGTGAGAGGGTGAGGTCAAAAGAGGAGAGGAGTGGAAAGAAGGAGGCAGAGAGAAATGAGTCTAACGTGGACATAGGGAGGTTGAAATCCCCCAAAACTGTGAGGGGTGAGCCATCCTCAGGAAAGGAACTTATCAAGGCGTCAAGCTCGTTGATGAACTCTCCAAGGGAACCTGGAGGGCGATAGATGACAAGGATATTAAGCTTAAATGGGTTAGTGACTGTGACAGCATGGAATTCAAATGAGGAGATAGACAGATGGGTTAGGGGAAAAATTGAGAATGTCCACTTGGGAGAGATGAGGATTCCTGTACCACCACCCCTCTGACCAGATGCTCTCGGGGTATGCGAGAACACATGGTCAGACGAGGAGAGAGCAGTAGGAGTAGCCGTGTTTTCAGTGGTGATCCATGTTTCCGTCAGCGCCAGGAAGTCGAGGGACTGGAGGTTGGCATAGGCTGGGATGAAGTCAGCTTTGTTGGCAGCAGAACGGCAGTTCCAGAGGCTGCCTGCGACCTGGAACTCCAGGTGAGGGGTGCGAGCAGGGACCACCAGGTTGGAGAGGCAGCAGCCGCGCGGTGTTGTGCGTTGTTTGTGTAGCCTGTGCAGAGACGAGAGAACAGGGATAGGCAGAGGCATAGTTGACAGGCTGTAGCAAATGGCTACAAAAATGCAGAGGAGATCGGAATGAAATGAGCTAAGCATCTGGGAGAGGAGAGAGGGGGGCCTCCCTCACCAAAAACTTCTACCTCAGAAACTAAAATTGTTTCACTGAACAGTTGTTCAATGTTTAAAGGAATAAACTCAAACCCACTTTATTCAGCTAGCCAACTATGACACCATAGCTGACTAGCATGCTAGCATCCAATAACACACAGTTTAACACACAGTTAAGCACCAATACTCACAACAAACCACCAATAGTGTGTTAACTAGCTAACCAGCATGCCAGCATCCAGTAACACACAGCCAAGCACAAACACTTGGTCACAGCAAACCACCAATAGTGTGATAACACACTAAACAGATCATTCGTGTCTGTGTCAAGTTCCTTTCATGACGCAGCAATGATTCAACATTGGCTAGCTAGGACAAGTATATTGTAATTAGCTACTACCGCACCGTTCGCTGGTCGTGCTGGGTAGCTAGCAATGGCCACTGTGTTGGCTTTGTTTGAAGAACGGCTAGCTAGCTAGCTTCGTGCTACACCCGGCACACAATGGCTACTGTGTTGACTCTGACTCTGTTCGAAAAAAACGGCTAATTAGCTCGCTTCGTGCTACAGCCGGCACGGCGGAAGACACTGCCAAGACACAGTAGCTACCCACGATACCTAGCTATGACGCCGTAGCTAACTAGCAAGCTAGCATCCATTAACACACAATTAGCACCAATACTTGGTTACAACAAACTGCCAAGAGTGTGTTAGCACACTAGCACACTAAACAGATGATTCATGTCCGTGTCTAGTTCCTTACATAACGCAGAACGCAGCAACGCAGAACGCAGAACGCAGCAAAAATTAAACGTTGGCTAGAAGCACATTTAACAGTGGGAACAGCTAATCGTTACCAGTAGCTACCCGCTAGCTAGCTAGCCTCGTGCTTCGATACTAACCTACAATAACCTACAATAACAACAATACTAACCTATAATAAATACAATACCTAACTACAACTAACTACCAACCTACGATCTAATGCATGGTTAAGCTATACTCAACACCAAATGAGAAGTTTGCTTACCTCCAGCTAGAGAGCTAGCTAGCCTCGAGCTTCAATACTAGCCTACAATAACCTACGGAAACCTACAATAACAACAATACTAACCTATAATAAATACAATACCTAACTACAACTAACTACCAACCTACGATCTAATGCATGGTTAAGCTATACTCAACACCAAATGAGAAGTTTGCTTACCTCCAGCTAGAGAGCTAGAGAGCTAGAGAAAAACACGTCCTCTCCCGACTGCTGCTCCCGACATCGGGAGCACTACGGGGTACCAGAGGACATAGTGTCTGACCGGGGTCCACAGTTCACATCCAAGGTATGGAAGGCGTTCATGGAACGTCTGGGGGTCTCGGTCAGCCTGACCTCTGATTTTCACCCTGAGTCTAATGGGCAGGTGGAATGGGTGAATCAGGATGTGGGTAGGTTCCTGTGGTCCTAATGCCAGGACCGGCCGGGGGAGTGGTCGGTGTTCTTGCCATGGGCCGAATATGCCCAGAACTCTCTCCGTCACTCCTCCACTAACCTAACGCCATTCCAATGTGTTTTAGGTTACCGACCGGTTCTGGCACCGTGGCATCAGAGCCAGACCGAGACTCCTGCGGTGGATGACTGGTTTCGGTGCGCGGAGGAGACGTGGAACGCTGCTCACGTCCACCTCCAACGCGCCGTGCGTCGTCAGAAGGCCAACGCTGACCGCCACCGCCACCGCAGTGAGGCCCCGGTCTTTGTACCGGGTCATCGGGTCTGGCTGTCGACCCGGAATCTGCCCCTCCGCCTGCCCTGCCGGAAGCTGAGCCCGCAGTTTGTGGGGCCGTTCAAAGTCCTGAGGAGAATAAATGAGGTTACCTATAGGTTATTACTCCCGCCAGATTATCGTATTAACCCCTCGTTCCATGTGTCTCTCCTCAGGCCGGTGGTGGCTGGTCCGCTCTAGGAGTCTGAGGTGCAGGAGGTCCCTTCGCCTGAGCCACCAACTGAGGAGGACTGTGGTAAACTGGTCAAACCACTCCCTGCCGACAAGCTCAACACGGCGTGTGTCCGGCCTATACTTTTTTTTAAGGAGTGGGAATTGATATTTTCTGATTTGATTGAATGCATACTGAGAGAGGATGCAAGGGGAAAGATAGAGGTTGTGTCAAAGAGCAGTGGGAGAGATTCATATCAATGCTGACACTGTAGACATGGGTGCCAGAGGCTGTAGCCTTACCACTAGACTACCAGGACACTGTCCATCACTTTGATCTCGGTAGCAATCTTGGCACCACAATGCCAGTTCACTTTCCTCCTCCTTATTGGCTGACTCGTCGTTGTTGGCTTTCAGGTCGTGGGTGAACAGGGAGTACAGCAGAGGGCTGAGGACACACCCCTGGGGGGCCTCTGTGTTAAGAGATAGTGTGGAGGAGGTGTTGTTGCCAATCCTCATAGCCTGTGGTCGGCACATCAGGACGCCCAGGATCCAGTTGCAGAGGCTGGTGTCCAGACCCAGGGCTCTGAGCTTGGAAGGAACAATAGTGTTGAATGCTGAGCTGTAGTCAATGAACAGCATGCTCACATAGGTGTTCCTCTTGTCCAGATGTGTAACGAACATGTGAATAGCGATGGAAATGGCATCTTCTGTGGATCTGCTGGAGTGGTGGAATGCTGGCCTTGATGTGGGCCATGACCAGCCTCTCGAAGCACTTAATGATGACCGGGGTGAGTGTGACAGGCGATAGCCATTTGGGCATGTCACCTTGTTTTTCTTGGGCACTGGAATGATGGTGGTCTCCTTGAAGCAGGTGGGGACTACAGCCTGGGACATGAACAGGTTGAAGATGTCAGAGAATATGCTTGCTAGCTGGTTAGAGCTGGCTGTTAGAGCTGGCTGTAACAATGTATTTGAGAGACAACAAGTGCTCATTGTGCAAATGTATTTATGTTTTCAATAAACATTTGGAGACAAAATATAGTTTACATGTTGTCAGCAGCCTAAGACAACCCTGTCTGTTTTGCCCCATAGTTGCGCACGCGTCGGTTTTGTTGCTAAACAACCAACCCCTCTATTGACATTTCAAAGTGTTGGCTATTCTCTGTAGGACTTCTGTAGAAAAACTAAACACACTGGAATAAAAATCCCGCAATTCCAAAAATGCCCAGCAGATGGGGTTAAGAACACACTGAGAGAGGCGCAGCTCAAGTGTCATCACCTTTACAGGAAAATGTCAGACGTCCTGAGTAGTAGGCGAGCCAGGGGATGTCGTTCTGTCAACCTATATGAAGAGATAAGGAAGTGACTTTCAGGCTTTTCATCAGTCCACACTGTCTAGGCACATACTTTCTGACGACTAACCTGGGGCTGCATAGCTTGCAGTGTCATGACAGGGGGAAACGCGAGAAGAACCTGAGTGGACTATAATCTGTGGATTCATTTGAACGGCAGCGCTGTTTTCAACATAGACCAAAGTCAGACGGAAGATTTCTATTGACAGTTTGAGAGATGAGATGAGGCTCACCCATGTCAAATGTGGATGTCTTATGGTTTTTGCTTTTCTCTCTCTAACCTGGTTCACCACTTATAATGGAAATGGTAAGGTGTCGCACGTGTAACACTAGTTATTAGGCTTCAAACTTTCAATGTGAAACCTTGTTCAGAACTGTTATATCAGTTTTCTATTGTTTTCGAATGGTATACTTAAATGATAATGCCCGAGAAGCTGGTGTTTGTTGGATATATTGTTGAATATATTGGCACGGGTGTTGTTAGGCCCCAGACGAAGTCGTATATTCGGTCTGATATACCACGGCTGTCAGCCAATCAGCATTCAGGGCTCGAACAACCCAGTTTATAATTAATTATATATTAAATTATATACCTATAATTCCAATGGTTCCAATCTAGAGGTAGGCCAATTGCCATGATTCTGCAACACCAGATCACTCAACCTGTCCTTACAATCAGACCAGGTGCAACAAACGTCAATTTGATCTCTCTCGCTCGCTCCCTCTCTCTCACACACAGAGTAAAAGTAATGATGACTTTATACCATGGTACCAGTTTTACATGATGTATTACTTCAAGGACTTAAAGAAAGACTACTAGAGTGTGAATTCCTTGTTGTCTGGGAAATGTACACACCATTCCACTGGCCCCTTTCCTGCTTTATACGTGTAACCCGGCAACTAAAACACCAGGCTTGTCCCTTGAGGAACTATGTGGTGTGAATGGGGTCGTCATGGAAATCACGGAAGTGGAATGGGACTATGGGAGGATTATTTTCATTAATTTTCTTGGGAGGAGTGAGTGTGTGTGTGGTTATTCTACTGTACATGCAGTTTGTTAAGCTATACCTTTTGTTATCCTGCACCCTACTACTCAATACTTCAGCAAATGTGATGTCACTGAAGTTTTCTCAAATCCATACATTAAACATAGACTTGTAACTGTTATACACTCTCTAAATGTTTTTCTATTTCTCCTCCCGACTCTTTCTGTTGTGCAACTGTATGTTTGTGTGTGTGTGTGTGTGTGTGTGTGTAGACGAGGGTGAACCCACCTACCACCCTAAGATGATCCAGCTGTATGAACGTCTGCTGGTTGCAGAGTCCAGGGGGGAGCTGGTGTTCAAGGAGCTCAGCAGTCTTCTGACCAGCCTGAACCTCACCAAACCAAACAACAACTCCTCCACTAATATCACAGGTGAGGTGACAGAGCCATGTTATCATCTGTGTAAAGGCTCGTTGTTAATTGTGGATCAAGTTTGAGGACGATCCTTTACTTTCAATGCATGTTAAGTGCTGGTCACAGCCAAGATAAACCTTTAAACAGTGCCAACAACGCTAATCAAATGACTTCTCGCCACACTCTGTTTAAGTGTTTTATGTCTGACCGTTTGTTGTGTGTTTGGTTTCATTTCTGGTGGTGTGGAGTGTAGGACTGCTGTCCTCCAGACTGCCCAACGCCTACCTCTACCTTCCCCACCTACGGGACCACGCAGACAGCCTGAATCTTAACGTTGTCCTGGGACAGGGCCGGACTGGAGGTGAAAGACGAGCCACGTCCCTCCGTCTTAACCCATGCGCGTGTGCGTGCATGTGTAGAAATGTATTACATTAACACATGTGTCTGAGTAAACATGTCCTCTTTGACAAACAGGAGGGGTTGTGTTAAAGTGAGAAGGTACACAGCCTGGTGTGGATTTCACTCTGTAACCTCTATCCACCCACCTCACCCTCCCTGCTCTGTTTGGACTTTATTCCAGTGAATGCCATACTGTAGTTATTCCTTCCTCACCAGAACATCACCTGTATCCTGGGACTTATCAGTGACTGTGTTATCTATAGCTCTGGGAAATCTGAAATCTGAAGCAGGTGTTCTTTCCTTCCCTCCCTGTGTGTGTGTGTGCGTCAGTGTCCCTGGTATTGGGGATCCCTACGGTGAAGCGTCAGAAGCAGAGCTACTTGGTTAGCACCCTGAACTCCCTTCTCTACGACCTTTCACCTTCTGAACGAAAAGATTCCGTCATCATCATCTTTGTTGCCGAGGTAACTTGCTCACATACCCTGATAGGGGTACATGGACACAAGTGACAGTCTTTGCCAATCAAACTTCACTTAAAGTCAATAACAATGGGGCCCCATCAGGTCATTTAGAAGTGTCTTTTTACATGTTAATCAAAAGAAGAAGTGACTTTGTAGATAGGGTAATATGGCTTGAGGTTGGGCCCCCAGACTATGGCCAGGTCTCTCCCAAGGGTCAAACCGACTTATTGTTATTAGCACAGGAAATAGAGGGATTAGGATGAGAAAAATAAAGAGGGATTCATTTCCATGAAAAGACCTGCTAAACCTGTTGAATGTGTCACGGTGCCTTTCAGAAGCTGAGGTATGAATGCTTTACACTAAACTTGAACTACATAAACTGACAGGCACATTACTGGAATTTCCTGTTCTAGATTTTAAGACCTAAGGCCATTTTAGCTCCTAATGTTCGACTGTGATCACTCGCGTCACAACTACCCTGTAACTGCTTTGCATATTTGTCATTCCGACTCAAGGTTTGCCCAATTGATGGTAACTTTGTGTAGTGGTTGTGTGTCTCTGAGGATATGAGCACACACAAGACACAAGACACCTTCAGTATTCTGTAGCCATCATGTTTCATCTACATTAATTATACTGCACACAAACTCACCCCTCTAATAATATGACCTCATGTTTCAGGTTAACTTTCACTGGATTTCCCATTGTCTCATTCATTTCCCCTTCTCTCTGTCTCTTTATTTCAGACGGATGCAGAATACGTCAACAGCGTAGCAGAACTCTTACAGAAGAAGTGAGATGTTTTGGTTGTTTGGGATTTTAGTTGAACTGTTTTTTTTATTTGCTGCTTCTTCAATGTGTTTTGTAGTTGACCTGTGTTTGCCTGTTGTGTGGGGCTGTAGTTTTCCTAAGGATGTGCACTCAGGCCTGTTGGAGGTAGTGTCCCCTTCTCAGTACCTCTACCCCAACTTCAGCAGACTCAGGGAAACCTTTGGAGACTCCAAGGAGAGAGTCAAGTGAGAAACGGACGCATGCACAACCCAACACAACCCATACAGATGTGTGGTCTTAAAATCATGAAAACAAAAAAGTCTAACACATCATGTATACCTGAAGTAAGTGGTTTGAATTGTGGTTATTTTCAGATGGCGCACAAAGCAGAACTTGGACTACAGCTTCCTGATGCTGTACGCACAGGAGAAGGGAACATATTATGTACAGGTGGGGTCAGAGTTCAACCTATCTGATTGGTCAGTCAGTCTGCCTGTGTAACTGTATGTGAGTTTTCCATTTAAATGTGAATTTAGGAAGTGAATTGAAATCATATATGTATTAACACATCCTCATTGAAAAATATGTGTTGTCAGTTGGAGGATGACATTGTGGCAAAGCCTGGTTACTCTCAGACCATGAAAACATACATCAGATCACTGGCCTCGGATGACTGGCTGTTCCTGGAGTTCTCTCAGCTCGGCTTCATCGGTGAGTCTATGCTCTTCTGTGTGTGTGTGTGTGTGTGTGTGTTCTCAGGGTGTCTGGAAAAGGAGGGCGTAGTTGGTTGTTTTTAGATAAACACTTGTTTATGTGGAGACTAAATGTATTTATTACCTTTAGTTAACGAGGTTATTTAATGAGAAAACACACTCACACTCACAGATGTGGATATGTACCAGTGGAGGCTGCTGGGGGAGGACGGCTCATAAATGGCTGGATTGGAGTGTAATGTCTGGAATGGAGTATCATGGCTGGAATGAAGTGAATGGAATGGTATCAAACATCCGAAAACCATATGTTTGATACCATTCCATTCACTCAATTCCAGCCCTTATTATGAGCCATCCTCTCCTCAGCAGCCTCCACTGGTATGTACAATATACTCATGACTCTTCTTCCTTGTCGTAAGTCATTTTACTTTAATTTGTGGGTTTGTGTTTGTGTCTGCATCAGGCAAGATGTTCAGAGCCCGTGATCTACCAATGATAGCAGAGTTCTTTCTAATGTTCCACAAAGACAAGCCCATTGATTGGCTGTTGGACCACATTCTGTGGGTGAAGGCTTGTAACCCAGAAAAAGATGAGGTGAGTTGTGCTCAACAAAATAAAGTATTTTGTTCAAGAGAATCAAATGTAAATGATTATCTAATGTAGAGCCCACAAACTTCTGAGTCCACACGGAACTATTCCTTTATTGCATTGAGAGTTGATGGGCTTTTCATCTTGTTTTGTCCCGTCCAGAAAGACTGCAACCTGCAGAAGGGCCTGCTCAAGCTGAGATATAAACCCTCTCTGTTTCAACATGTAGGCCTTCACTCCTCTCTGCCTGGGAAACTACAGAAATTAAAAGTAAGATTCTCTCTCTCTCTCTGGTATGTTTGTGCAAGATAAACTCAGTTAGTGGCAGTTATAATTCAAATGTCTCTCTCTCTGGTGTGTTTGTGCAAGATAAACTCAGTTAGTGGCAGTTATAATTCAAAAGTCTCTCTCTGGTGTGTTTGTACAGGATAAGGACTTTGGAAAGGTGCCACTGTTTGCAGCCCACAGTAACCCTCCTGCAGAGCTGAGCAGTAGTCTGAAGCACTACCAGCAGCACACCCTGGAGAGGGCCTATGAGGGCCAGGACTTCTTCTGGGGCCTGACCCCTACCGCTAAAGACTTCATCCTGCTCAGCTTCCCACAGCCACGCACTGTCAACGGGTCAGTGGACACACACACACACACAGTAGCCTACACCAGACACGTGAACAGATAGGGCTAGCCCTTTTGTCCTCTTGTGAAAAAATAACGCTTTTGATTGGTGGTATTTTCTTTAATTAATCACTTTTTATTTTCAGACTCATTTCGCTATTGTAGCTTTAAATGTAACGAATTGCGTTTTGAAATTAATACGATAAATGACTTTGGAGTTGCTAGCGTGTGTCGTCTCACGGTCAGGGACATGCAGTTCGACTGTTTGTCTGCAGCAGAACAAATTCAAATCAAGTAAAGACTAGTAAGCTAGCTGTTTCATCACACACACATTTTAATTTGAACTGCAACCACAGGTCACATTTAAGTATTGCTTTCCCGACACTGACTCCAGTTCCCTGTTTTCTTGCCTGTATAAAGGGTGTGGAACAGGACTTTGTCTCCCACTTGTCACACTCCTTCTCACAATGGACTCCAGTAGGTCACGTTTGCCATGCCCTAATACAAGCATTTCGCTACAGCCGCAATAACATCTGCTAAATATGTGTATGCGACCAATAAAATGTGATTTGATTTAATACCACACAGACCACACTGATTAGACACAAAGGGAACGTCTCAGAGCAAATAGAATGGAGTTAAAGGTAAATACGAGTTATGAGCAAATACATTGTAGGTATTCAGTTAGTTGCCACTTAGTGTAAAGCTCTCCTGTTCATTGTGGTCATTTATGGCATGAGAGGGATAAATGACAGAGGTACATTCTATTTTGACCAGGCAGCCCAACTGTTGCTATAATAGGTAATGACTCCTATGATCCCATCTTGTATCTCCAGGTACCTGTTTCGCAGTGGAAACATCGAGACCAACGAAGACAAGTTTTATAACACCACCGTGGAGGTGCTCCCTAGTGATGTGAGTGCCATGGAGATCATACTAACTGGCAACGGTGTGTGGGAGAGAGCGAGAGAGAGTGATCTCTGGTGACTGCAGTGTCATGGAGCTGGTCTAAGAGACTGATGTGGCTCTCAGGTGTCATGTCCTAGGGACTAAGTAACAAGGTGACAGGAAACACCCACCACATCTTCTAACATGCTGATGGCCTACCTGTGTGTGTGTGTGTGTGTGTGTTTGAGATAAAACAACACAACACAAAATATAAAACTTTCACTCCTGTCCGTACTCCACTAGAGGCTTATGCAAAGTCAAAAACTAAAGAATCACATAGTGTTCATAATGTCATCAATAATAATCATCAGTAGATCTGTTTTAGCCGTATACAGCTATGCTGAATGTGATCTGAGATAGTGAAGACAAAAGGTACATTGTAACATGGTTTAACATGTGTTTTTCCTCTCCAGAGCTCTGTGAGAGACAGACTGGTGGGTGGCCAGTCTCCTCAATATGAAGGATCTAATGGAGGCTTCATAGTGATTGGTAATATTTTTCTAATTCCGGGTCAGGTGATGTGGTCAGGAAAAACTCTGATCTCCTATTATTACTAGTAGTTTCTCTGTCACCTCTGGCCTGATAGACACAAACACTTGTCAGGGTAAGACGGGCAGACACACCTCCATCAAGGTGTTGTTCTGTGTCTGGATGGTTCTGAATCATAGAAATACAACAACTAGAATGAGCTATTGGACTCTGCCCTGGTAGTGTCTGTGTGGTGGGGGTTGGTTGTCTGAATAGCTGTACCTTTCACCCCCTTAAAGCCTTCTGTGATTGGTTAAGTGCAAATAGCGAGATAAGGAATGACTAAGCTTTGCTGAATCATAAATCACCTCAAAGGGGAATGGAAACACTAGGCTTAAGAACTCCAGCTAATTGTAACTGTAAATCGCCATATTGGCATTGCATCATCGGTAGAAGAGTTTTGGAATTCCTGAATTCGAGACCATGACCTCTGCGTGCATTAATGAGCATAATTTGCTGGTGTCAAACCATATATGAAAACATGATACATATTTTGAAAGCTGAGAAACAGCCCTTTTCAAATTATATGATATACAGTTGAAGTCGGAAGTTTACATACACCTTAGCCAAATACATTTAAACTCAGTTTTTCACAATTCCTGACATTTAATCCTAGTAAAAATTCACTGTCTTAGGTCAGTTAGGATCACCACTTTATTTTAAGAATGTGAAATGTCAGAATAATAGTAGAGAGAGATTTGATTCAGCTTTTATTTCTTTCATCACATTCCCAGTGGGTCAGAAGTTTACATACACTCAATTAGTATTTGGTAGCATTGCCTTTAAATTGTTTAACTTGGGTCAAACGTTTCGGGTAGCCTTCCACAAACTTCCCACAATAAGTTGGGTGAATTTTGGCCCATTCCTCCTGACAGAGCTGGTGTAACTGAGTCAGGTTTGTAGGCCTCCTTGCTCACACATGCTTTTTCAGTTCTGCCCACAAATTTGTGATGGCCACTCCAATAACTTGACTTTGTTGTCCTTTAGCCATTTTGCCACAACTGTGGAAGTATGCTTGGGGTCATTGTCCATTTGGAAGATCCATTTGCGACCAAGCTTTAACTTCCTGACTGATGTCTTGAGATGTTGCTTTAATATATCCACATAATTTTCCTTCCTCATGATGCCATCTATTTTGTGAAGTGCACCAGTCCCTCCTGCAGCAAAGCACCCCCACAGCATGATGCTGCCACCCCCATACTTCACGGTTGGGATGGTGTTCTCCGGCTTGCAAGCCTTCCTCTTTTTCCTTCAAACATAACGATGGTCATTATGGCCAAACAGTTGTATTTTTGTTTCATCAGACCAGAGGACATTTTTCCAAAAAGTACAATCTTTGTCCCCATGTGCAGTTGCAAACCGTAGTCTGGCTTTTTTATGGCGGTTTTGGAGCAGTGGCTTCTTCCTTGCTGAGCGGCCTTTCAGGTTATGTCAATATAGGACTCGTTTTACTGTGGATATAGATACTTTCTTACCTGTTTCCTCCAGCATCTTCACAAGGTCCTTTGCTGTTGTTCTGGGATTGATTTGCACTTTTCGCACCAAAGTACGTTCATCTCTAGGAGACAGAACGCGTCTCCTTCCTGAGAGGTATGACGGCTGCGTGGTCCCATGGTGTTTATACTTGCGTACTATTGTTTGTACAGATGAATGTGGTACCTTCAGGCATTTGGAAATTGCTCCCAAGGATGAACCAGACTTGTGGAGATCTACAATTTTTTTTCATGTCAAGGAAAGAGGCACTGCGTTTGAAGGTAGGCCTTGAAATACATCCACAGGTGCACTCAAATTATGTCAATTAGCCTATCAGAAGCTTCTAAAGCCATGATGTCATTTTCTGGAATTTTCCAAGCTGTTTAAAGGCACAGTCAACTTAGTGTATGTAAACTTCTGACCCAATGGAATTGTGATACAGTGAATTATAAGTGAAATAATCTGTCTGTAAACGATTGTTGGAAAAATTACTTGTGTCATGCACAAAGTAGATGTCCAAACCGACTTGCCAAAACTATAGTTTGTTAACAAGTAATTTGTGGAGTGGTTGAAAAACAAGTTTTAATGACTCTAACCTAAGTGAATGTAAACTTCCAACTTCAACTGTACAATAGCACCACATCAATCAAGAAAATCAATCATTTACAGAACTTCCTAATGAAGATCAAGAAAAACTTAGAGCATATTGGGCCTTATTTTGTAAGGATTGAAAATCTGAAATCATAATAGTAATACCTTTTACTGTGAATTAGTTACAGCTGTTTTAGTGAACAGTGGTATTTTTCTAGAATTCTATGGATCTTCCGTGATCACACTTTCTTATCTGGATAGTATAGCAAACACATACTGTATATGCACCGAAACATATTACAAATGGCATTTATTCTTAAATATGATGAGGAAAGACATACACAAGTAATATAATATCAATAAAACAATAACTTTATTAAAATAATACGGTTAGGGGAATACATTGTCTCATTCAAACCTGAAAACAAAGTGCAAGTTGCATCGCTATCATAACCAAAACATTATATACAACATTCATCTCAGGGATATTGTTTTCAAAATTGAACTGGAATTTTTTTTTAAGGATAATATTAACACATATTATAGAGTAGTCCTCCAGTAGATTGAAGTTCACCTAGTCCATAACTGACATCATATGATTAATGGAGAGGTGGAAGAGGGGGTGGCTGGTGAGGAGAAATAATGAGAGAGAGGGACATAGCGCTAATAGTACATAACAATAATATATCAACAAATTTAAGAATTTCATATCTGTCCATAACTGAAATAATATGATAATGTATGTCTAAGTAGCAAAGTCACAAAAACAGCTAGACCAGGATGACCAAGCTGACTACCAGCCTGAGCTTTTAAAAGTCATTATCTAGCAATCATCATTAGGATTAGGCTTCAGGCTTAGGCTACATGACTTACTGTAATCAACAACCAGCAGGCTTAGCTACTATTTTTAGGAATCATATGACATATCACAGATAAACCGACACCTAATGAGATATCTAGCTATGTAGTTATCTAGCTAGCTATCTAGGGGATCACAGCTAGCTAGCTAGCTACATTTTACTGGTAAAATAGCAATCCTGCAGCAGCCCTTTCTGGCTGGCTAACTATATATCAAATCACTAGCCAATTCGTTATAGCTTTGAATAATGCCTAATGACAAATGTTCTTCAAATTGTCCATATGAGCATTTTATGTACAGCTATCAAAGAAAACATTAAAAAGACAAAACAAGAGATGTGCTAAATTAAGTGGGCTAGGCAGCTAGCTACCTTGCCTCGTTTTGGCTGACTGTCTACTCGGCTTGTTATTAAAAGTTAATTTCACAGAGACTCATCTTATCAATCGGAATAAATACTCTAAAATATAAATATTATAATTACCAACATAAAAATGAATTGTATACAGTTTCTTACCTTAATGTTGTTGTCCTGATCTCAATGACAGAGCTGTCAAAGTTGTGAGAAACCTTTCAGGTCCAGTGGAGGCAAGGCAACACCTGGTGGCAGCATCACTTTCAGTCCCCATGCCAAAACTCAATTTGCTCAACCCTGCCAATGACGCATTGGCATCAGTCGTTACTATGGCAATGCAAGATGGTGCTACCCATACCTCCTAATAAACTATATTCAAGATCAAAATCCTAAAAATAGAGATATTGAAATGCACATGTTTAGTATTAGTGGATTGAATAGATCTCTTTGCTTAGCTTTACTTCCTAAAAAGTGTTTCCATTCTCTTTTAAACCCTGGGGCTGTGTTTCTACTAAGCTAACATATGGAATTGTTTTAAGATGGTCATAACAAGGATAATTTAGCTATTTGAGTTTACATTTTAGGACCCCTGTAGGTATTAAAAATATATACACAACCAGTCAAAAGTTTAGACACACCTACTCATTCAAGGGTGTTTCTTTATTGTTATTGTTTTCTACATTGTAGAATAATAGTGAAGACATCAAAACTATGAAATAACACACATGGAATCATGTAGTAACCAGAAAAGTGTTAAACAAATCAAAATATATTTTATATTTGAGATTCTTCAAATAGCCACCCTTTGCTTTGATGACAGCTTTGCACACTCTTGGCTTTCTCTCAACCAGCTTCACCTGGAATGCTTTTCCAACAGTCTTGAAGGAGTTTCCACATATGCTGAGCACTTATCAAATCAAATCAAATTGTATTGGTCACATGCGCCGAATACAACAGGTGCAGACATTACAGTGAAATGCTTACTTGCAGCCCTTAACCAACAGTGCATTTATTTTAAACAAAAAAAGTAAGAATAAAACAACAACAAAAAAAAGTGTTGAGAAAAAAAAAAGAGCAGAAGTCAAATAAAGTGACAGTAGGGAGGCTATATATACAGGGGGGTACCGTTGCAGAGTCAATGTGCGGGGGCACCGGCTACTTGAGGTAGTTGAGGTAATATGTACATGTGGGTAGAGTTAAAGTGACTATGCATAAATACTTAACAGAGTAGCAGCAGCGTAAAAAGGATGGGGTGGGGGGGCAGTGCAAATAGTCCGGGTAGCCATGATTAGCTGTTCTGTTATTGGCTGCTTTTCCTTCACTCTGCTGTACAACTCATCCCAAACCATCTCAATTGGGTTGAGGTCAGGTGATTGTGGAGGCCAGGTCATCTGATGCAGCACTCCATCACTCTCCTTCTTGGTCAAATAGCCCTTACACAGCCTGGAGATGTGTTGGGTCATTGTCCTGTTGAAAAACAAATGATAGTCCCACTAAGCGCAAACCAGATGGGATGGCGTATCGCTGCAGAATGCTGTGGTAGCCATGCTGGTTAAGTGTGTCTTGAATTCTAAATATATCACCGACAGTGTCACCAGCAAAGCACCATCACACCTCCTCCTCCATGCTTCATGGTGGGAACCACACATGTGGAGATCATCCGTTCACCTACTCTGCATCTCAAAAAGACATGGCGGTTGGAACAAAAATCTCAAATTTGGACTCATCAGACCAAAGGACAGATTTCCACGATCTAATGTCCATTGCTCGTGTTTCTTGGCCCAAGCAAGTCTTTTCTTCTTATTGGTGTCCTTTAGTAGTGGTTTCTTTGCAGCAATTTGACCATGAAGGCCTGATTCACACAGTCTCCTCTGAACAGTTGATGTTGAGATGTGTCTGTTACTTGAACTCTGTGAAGCATTTATTTGGGCTGCAATTTCTGAGGCTGGTAACTCTAATGAACTTATCCTCTGCAGCAGAGGTAACTCTGGGTCTTCCTTTCCTGTGGCGGTCCTCATGAGAGCCAGTTTCATCATAGCGCTTGATGGTTTTTGCGACTGCACTTGAAGAAACTTTCAAAGTTCTTGACATTTTATGGATTGACTGACCTTCATGTCTTAAAGTAATGATGGACTGTCGTTTCTCTTTGCTTATTTGAGCTGTTCTTTCCATAGTATGGACTTGGTCTTTTACCAAATAGGGCTATCTTCTGTATATCAACCCTACCTTGTCACACCACAACTGACTGGCTCAAACACTTTAAGAAGGAAAGCAATTCCACAAATTAACTTTTAACAAGCCACACCTATTAATTGAAATGCATTCCAGGTGACTATCTCATGAAGCTGGTTGAGAGAATGCCAAGATTTTGCAAAGCTGTCATCAAGGCAAAGGGTGGCTACTTTGAAGAATCTCAAATATAAAATATATTTTCATTGTTTAATACTTTTTTGGTTACTACATGATTCCATATGTGTTATTTCATAGTTTTGATGTCTTCACTATTATTCTACAATGTAGAAAACAATAACAATAAAGAAAAACCCTTGAATGAGTAGGTGTGTCCAAACTTTTGACTGGTACTGTATATAAAACAATTAATTGATGAAACATTAAATGTAGCCTTACTGCTACAATATTAGCCCATATAAACACATTGAATAACATATTCATACTTGGCAAAACAGATGGTCAAAAAATAAATAAAAAGGAATTATGTTTTGAAATGTCTGTCCTATATCTAAGAGATCTGAGAAAGCTCCTGAAATTGGCCCCCCCAAAATTGACCCATATTTAACCCATTTTGTTTGGCATCTAGAGTACTTACATATATACTTCCATTCACTTTTTTTAAACTGCTACCGGATTGCCGTCCGTGTTGTGAGGTTTGTGGGCGTCGTAGAGCAAAACAACTGGCGTATGTGTTCGTAAGAGTCTCAGCTTTCGATGGCGAGGTCATATTAGTTTGTAGGCCAAACTGTTAGGACGCTACAGACAGAAGTTGACACATTGGCGGTACCGACTTCAGACGAGGCCCGTGAAGCTTGTGGGGGTCATAGAGTAAAACACCGAACATGTGTTCATGAGTCTCACCTTTTGATGTTGGGGTCATATTAGTTTGTGAGAAGACCGATTTTCAGTTTGTCTCCTGGTCTGACAAACGCTGACACAGATATCTCTAGTTTAAACAGATGAATTTTGATGGGGATTTTTTTATTATACTAGTTAGATTTACACGGGGGCGCGGACATCTACTCTATATCAATTAGCTGGTACACACCTGATATAAGACTCAATTGTTGAAGAGCCAGAAGGAGGGAAAGCTAAGGGAGACAAAGATAGAGATACAAGGAGACCGAGAGTGAGAAGTAGCCTTGGAAATACCAGACCTAGGGCAGCAACAGCAGTAGGACTGGGATTAATGACGGATTATTTTGGTGACTTCAAAAAGGGAGAAAAAAGTATAATAATTCCGGGGAGGGTCCTCTTCAGAAACACAACTCTCCCAACATAGCACTACTTAGACATCCCAAAACAACGCGATTCGAAACCAAATTTGCAAGCAAAACCTTTGCAGTGGGTTTAGTGAAGGTAGTTGATGCAAACTAGCCACTCGCGAAATGCACTCATTATAAATAACCTTCACTTGCTATGTACTATTTTGTGTCATGGGGATGTTTAAGCTAGGGCAACAAGCTACTGTGTCCTGCTGTCCCAACTTCGCCCTTTCCTGTAAAAACTGAAGTTGTATACGTACAGATATGGTACATTGTGGGAGGCAACCCGTCTGTCAGTATGAAAAATGTATACACTCACTAACTGTAAATCGCTCTGGATAAGAGCGTCTGCTAAATGACTAAAATGCTAAAATGAGACTAAAGGCTTTATTCTATCCGCATCGCAGAAATTGAGCTTTAAAGCGTGATTGAAATGTAAAGTCAATGTTCCCCTAATGGCAGAAATCCATCTAGCATGTTGGGGGCGATTTAACAACGGAGCCCTATTCATTTTCAATGAAGGGAAGCGAAGTGGGCGGGGACCGTTGGATGATACAAGCATTGGCGAGGGAGCGTGAACAACGCAGGACCAAAGTTGGGGAAAGATTAATTTTTGTTGCGTACTCCGCGACATTGCATTGCTATTGACCAATCAAAGCTCAATATAGTTTCCAGCCCCTACTGGATTGGCTGTTGATACCTAGCACTACCTAACCTGCTTGCTAACACTGACATGTGGGCGAAGCTATCTGTATAGTGGATCACTGCTGTAAGTGAGAAGAGTCGTCTCTAGTTGCCACAAAGTCATAAACCCCACATATTTCTACAATTTCTCTTCTTAAAATGTGATTTAAATTTAACCACACTGCTAACCGTATGACTAACCCTAACCTTAAATTAAGACCAAAAAGCAATTTTTTTGTTTAGAAGACTTTTTAAAATATAGCCAATTTCGTGACTGTGGTAACTTGTGGAAACCAGTAAGAAGGGGAGAGAGAAAGAAAGAGAGTGGAGAGAGAGAGAGATAGAGAGCGATGAAACAACAGTACCAACACCGCATAGGAGAACAAAGGAACGGACACACCTTAGAAGCATTACATTGATGTCAGAGTCCAATCCATTCATACAAAAGCAACAGACTTTCTCATAGACAATAGTCTCATTTGAAACTCCAGTTGCTAACAGGTTATATCCCACTGTGGGCTGTTTTGTACATGACTAATTGTAGAGTCCATTACTGTTATAATTAAGCAATAAGGCACGAGGGGTTGTGGTATATGGCCAATATACCATGGCTAAGGGCTGTTCTTATGCACGACGCAACACGGAGTGCCTGGATACAGCCCTTAGCCGTGGTATATTGGCAATATACCACAAACCCCTGAGGTGCCTTATTGCTATTATAAGCTGGTTACCAACGTAATTAGAGCAGTAAAAATAAATGTTTTGTCATACCCATGGTATACGGTCTGATATACCACGGCTGTCAGCCAATCAGCATTCAGGGCGCCAACCACCCAGTTTATAATATACTGTACAGTCGTGGTCAAAGGTTTTGAGAATGACAAGTATTGGTCTTCACAAAGTTTGCTGCTTCAGTGTTTTTAGATATTTTTGTCAGATGTTACTATGGTATACTGAAGTATAATTACAAGCATTCCATAAGTGTCAAAGGCTTTTATTGACAATTACATTAAGTTTATGCAAAGAGTCAATATTTGCAGTGTTGACCCTTCTTTTTCAAGACCTCTGCAATCCGCCCTGGCATGCTGTCAATTAACTTCTGGGCCACATCCTGACTGATGGCAGCCCATTCTTGCATAATCAATGCTTGGAGTCTGTCAGAATTTGTGGGTTTTTGTTTGTCCACCCGCCTCTTGAGGATTTGACCACAAGTTCTCAATGGGATTAAGGTCTGGGGAGTTTCCTGGCCATGGACCCAAAATGTCGATGTTTTGTTCCCCAAGCCACTTAGTTATCACCTTTGCCTTATGGCAAGATGCTCCATCATGCTGGAAAAGGCGTTGTTCGTCACCAAACTGTTCTTGGATGGTTGGGAGAAGTTGCTCTCGGAGGATGTGTTGGTACCATTCTTTATTCATGGCTGTGTTCTTAGGCAAAATTGTGAGTGAGCCCACTCACTTGGCTGAGAAGCAACCCCACACATGAATGGTCTCAGGATGCTTTACTGTTGGCATGACACAGGACTGATGGTAGCGCTCACCTTGTCTTCTCCGGACAAGCTTTTTTCCGGGATGCCCCAAACAATCGGAAAGGGGATTCATCCGAGAAAATGACTTTACCCCAGTCCTCAGCAGTCCAATCCCTGTACCTTTTGCAGAATATCAGTCTGTCCCTGATGTTTTTCCTGGAGAGAAGTGGCTTCCTCGCTGCCCTTCTTGACACCAGGCCATCCTCCAAAAGTCTTCGCCTCACAGATGCACTCATACCTGCCTGCTGCCATTCCTAAGCAAGCTCTGCACTGGTGGTGCCCCGATCCCGCAGCTGAATCAGCTTTAGGAGACGGTCCTGTCGCTTGCTGGACTTTCTTGGGCGCCCTGAAGCCTTCTTCACAACAATTGAACCTCTCTCCTTGAAGTTCTTGATGATCCGATAAATGGTTGATTTAGGTGCAATGTTACTAGCAGCAATATCCTTGCCTGTGAAGCCCTTTTTGTGCAAAGCAATGATGACGGCACGTGTTTCCTTGCAGGTAACCATGGTTAACAGAGGAAGAACAATGATTTCAAGCACCACCCTCCTTTTAAAGCTTCTAGTCTGTTATTCTAACTCAATCAGCATGACAGAGTGATCTCCAGCCTTGTCCTCGTCAACACTCTCACCTGTGTTAACGTGGGAATCACTGACATGATGTCAGCTGGTCCTTTATTGGCAGGGCTGAAATGCATTGGGAATGTTTTTGGGGGATTAAGTTCATTTTCATGGCAAAGAGGGACTTTGCAATTAATTGCAATTCATCTGATCACTCTTCATAACATTCTGGAGTGTATGCAAATTGCCATCATAAAAACTCAGGCAGCAGACTTTGTGAAAATTAATATTTGTGTCATTCTCAAAACTTTTGACCACGACTGTATATTCTGCCAGGGGTTTTCAGAATAATACTACATTCAGGTTACTAATATGTTATTGAATGTTTGTGTCTCATGTTTGTAGGTTCCTTTGTGGATGGGGTGGCTGAGGGACAGATAGACGCACAGATGCAGCCCATCTCTGCTTTACGTCTTCTGGTACACAGCGACTCTGACGTGTGGGTTCTGCTCAGCGAGGTGAGCTGTGTGCGCTTATGAGGAAGTTACAGGAATTGTGTGTTTTATTAGTCAGTCAATGGTTCTCTAGATTTAAAGGTGTATTCAAACAGCTTGTAGGTGCTGTGTCCTGAAAGAGGAAGATAATTTGTTTCACTAGAAAGACAAGGGCTCTCTTCAATCCGTATCGCTGAAGTTCAGCGTTAAAGTGTGATTGAAATGTAAAGGCTACATTCCCGTGTTAGCGAAGACTGCATTCACGGTAAACGGTGCAAATGTCAGCTCAATCGGAAATTACCTTTACATTTCTATTGAACATAGCCCTAATTCACATTCCTACATAGTTCCCTCTCTTAACTTAAAGAGGGAACTCTGTGAACTTATTTACAATAATAATCAGTGTGTCCTTGGTACCTTCAGTATCTCTGGCGTCATTCACGATCAAAAGATATGAGAAAAATCCCTAACAAGTGTGGTGACCATCAACCCCTACACAAATGAGTGTCACAAATAGAGCACTATAAATAATGTGTGCTACAGAAAGAGAAAACATCAATATGCTAAGCATTGCGTTAATTACTCTTACCTGATTATGGGGGGCATTAGGGATGATGTAGATTGTGTACAAGAGTGTGTTTCTGTGTAGGATTACAGCGGCTAAGGTTTGGTTAATGCTCATGCTTGTCCCTGTCTGTCAGATATTTATTAAACTTTGAGGAGGGGAAGAGAGGAGAAACCTGAGAGGGCGTACGCTGCTCGCCTATGACACTCCACACCTGGACCAACAGCGACCTCTATTGGACATGGATAGTCAATGCAGTTTCTCTAACTATCTCAGCTGCTGCTGAATGGACACACTGTGGATGTTCTCTTCTCTACGCACATCGGATACTTTTTCCAACACACACACAGTGTGGATGTTCTCGACGCACATTGGATACTTTTTCAACACACACACTGTGGATGTTCTCTTCTCTACGCACGTCGGATACTTTTTCAACCTATGACTATAATGTGAATCTGGAAGAGAAAGTTTCAGTTCGTGTTCCTAAATGAGTTTGTCAATCAATTTGAGCATTTCTACGTTTGTGGAAGACTTTATACTGGAAACCAGCTTTCTGCTGTGGCTTTAGTCTCAGTTCTCTAGAGGGAAAACATGATTAACGTGTACAGGGCTATGTTAGAGTATAACAAAGAGTTCAGCGAGAGATGATTTGATTGATACACACCGTGAGTAATGAATGCAATGTGTTGTGTGTATGTGTGTGAGAAAAAGATGGGGACTGATGCAATGATTGTATGGCTGTATTATTGAGAGTTAGTTACATTGTTTGTGCAAGTGTGTGTGTGTGAGTTCATGTCTCTGGCCAAAATGCTGTAGATCAGGTTCATTCCACAAGGTGGTATTTTGCCATAGGTGCATTTCCCTGGTACTGAACTGCTAGTCTGTTCATTTCAATGGGGATCACTGGAGAGCAGTCACTCCACAATGTAGGTACATGGTACTATGTGCTGTATATAAAGAAAGAACACGAAGGCATTCTTGATTGTGTATAGCAGTTTAACTGCTTGGCAATTCCCTAGTTTTTTTCCCCAACCTTTAACTTATAAGTAGCAGTGGAGGGGAGGACAGCTCATAATAATGGCTGGAACAGTGCAAATGGAATGGCATCAAACACATGGAAACCATGTGTTTGATAATGTATGCAATCACTAACTGTAAGTCGCTCTGGATAAGAGCGTCTGCTAAATGACTAAAATGTAATACCATTCCACCTGTCCAGTCATTACCACGAGCCCGTTCTCCCCAATTAAAGTGCTGCCAACCTTTTGTGATAAGTAGCTATATGTGTTCCAGAATATTTTGTAGGTAGAAAATACAGGTTACCTCTCTACTCTACAAACAAGAGCATAACATTGTCTGACATTACAGTACCTACTTATATTTACAGATATTTTACAGATATTAAAGTTGATGAGTAAGTAGTATTGTTTGCTCAATCTCTCCCCACATTTGGTCTCTAGTTTACTCCGACTAACAGAGTCACAGCTAATGTTTCCCAGCAGGGGCCACTACTACTGCACAAATCGAGCTACTGGGTCGACTCAACAATCACTTCTATGGAGAATATATGGGGTTTGCGCGAATCCTCGCCTCCGGATTTTAACACACTTCTGCGTTAGCCGCCGGGAGAATACATTTGTGTATCCAAGGCCGGCAGAGGCAATTGAGGAGAGAAGTAAACTCCTCTATCCACCTTTTAACTAATTGACACTTCTACATAAGGCGACTGCTTATCGGTTTCCGTGTCACAGAGGAGAGGAGGACGGAGGAGTCGAGGAGAGGACAGACTTTTAAGCTATTTGAGAATCTCCCGGAGAAATTCAGTTTCCAATTCAATGGATTGAACTTGAAAATGGATTGACCACAACAATCTAGGGATTGGTACGTCAAATGAAAATCAGGCTACCACAGGCCCCTGCAGGCGTGACAGATTTTGAAATATAATATTAACTATAAGTACATGTTCCCGATTGTTGAGACACTGAGCCTTCTGTTAGCTGCGGACATACAGTACAATGCCACTACATTTCAACAGATACATTTACAGCATGACCTCACAGTGAGATGCAGAATACCAAAACTCAAAGCTGGCTGTGTCTCATTTGTCCTTCTGGGCACTCTTAGAGCCCATGTGGAAGGTGGAGATGTAGTTTAGATAGGACTATGAGGAGACTACACCAGTGGAGAGGAATACCACCACAGACACTCAATCAAAAAACAGTTTTATTAAAACAAATGCATTTTAAAATACCATAATAGTCAAATATACACAACGGCTACACAGCAAGGTTTAGGGTTACTTCCACTGGCTGACAAATGCAATGAATCAACTTTTTCCACCATTGATGCATATGCACAAGCCCCAAATGGTTAATTCAATGACAATTGATTTGAGAAAATACAAGGGCTGAACTCTGTTTTAACATCTTGTGTGTTTGATGAAAACTTTGCCAGTGGAGAGAAGTAATCATCATTGCAATTGAGCCTAGACCTAAAAGCATAGTCTAATAATATTGATGACAAACAATATTAAAACATACAATATTAAAACATGATAAGCTTAGGGTTCTATTCAGGTCTCTGCTAAAGCCGGAACATTGCCTTTAAATTTGAATCACGCTGTTAATCTGAACTTCCGCGATGGGGATTGAATAGAGCCCTCAGGGCTGCAAAATTTTCCAGAATTGTCTGGGTTTTCCAGAAATCCTGGTTGGAAGATTCCTGCAGTTAGAAGGGGATAAGCAGGGAATCCGGGAATAATCCAACCGGGATTTCTGGAAAGCCTATTTAGACTACTAGGAAATCTGAAATTTACATTTACATTTACATTTACATTTACGTCATTTAGCAGACGCTCTTATCCAGAGCGATGACACGGTTCCTTTGTCTCTTCCTGCAGGTGAGGTTATGTGTAGTAACAGATAATAAACATATACACCCAAAAATAACATGTCAGATACAACAACTGTATAATAATGACAATAATACTGTAACAAATAGAAAAGCTAAAAAGTAAGCCAACGTAAACAATTTAGCTTCACTGTAGAAATCTTAAAGGTGGTGAGGGGAGGGGCTAGGGTTGTCATGATGACAAAGGCATAAACTCTACCAGCTGTAGTTCAGGGGGGTTATTAGGTGGTATTTGGGTTAGGAGGGCTGAATGTAGAGGGGGGTTGGTTTAGGAGGGTAGTGGCGGTTCTTGTCTAGTCCCTTATTTTCGTTTGCTCTTGGTGTCAGTGGTCTGGAACACGCTGGAGGCAGACATAAGGTTCTCAATGTACTGACCCAGAACCTGGTTCTCAGACTTCAACTTCAGGTTCTCCTCCTTCACCGCATCCACACGCGACGACAGGTCTGGCAACAACAATGATTTAAGGAAGTGCAATAACTAACATTATTTACTGCTGCTTTCGTCTGTCCGTCTGCAAACATCCAGCTGTCTCACCTTCTAGAGTGTGCTGAAGCTCCAACACCTGGTTTATAAGCTTTGTCTTTTCTTCCAGCTCAGCCTGATTCTCCATGTCACCTACAACACACACACACAATTAATTTATATTACAAACATGTCCACAGGAACCAAACGCTGCTGACATTGCACATTTCCCAGAAGTATGTGAAGCAAGCCTTAGGCTCTTCTCTTACCATCCCCGTCGGAGCTCATGGCAAAGTACTCGTCTTCCTTTTTGGAATGCAGGGCTGCGACTTACAGGGACACTGGAAGGGGACAACAAACATTTTGAAGGAATAGGATCTTAGGCAAGGGTCAATGGCCCCTGACTGACCTGTTCAACTCTTATGTATACTGAACAAAAATATAAAATGCAACATGCAACAATTTCAAAGATTTTACTGAGTTACAGTTCATAAGGAAATCTGTCAATTGAAATAAATTCATTAGGCCCTAATCTATGGATTTCACATGACTGGGAATCCAGATATGCATCTGTTGGTCACAGATACCTTTTTTAAAAAGGTAGGGGCGTTGATCAGAAAACCAGTCAGTATCTGGTGTGACCACCATTTGCCTCATGCAGTGCAACACATCCCCTTCACATAGAGTTGAACAGGCTGTTCATTGTGGCCTGTGGGAAGTTGTCCCACTCCTCTTCATTGGCTGTGCGAAGTTGCTGGATATTGGAACACGCTGTTGTACACGTCGATCCAGAGCATCCCAAACATGCTCAATGGGTGACGTCTGGTGAGTATGTAGGCCATGGAAGAACATACATTTTCAGCTTCCAGGAATTGTATACAGTTCCTTGCGACATGGGGCCGTGCGTTATCATGCTGAAACATGAGGTGATGGCAGCGGATGAATGGCACGACAATGGGCCTCAGGATCTCGTCACGGTATCTCTGTGCATTCAAAATGACATTGATAAAATGCAATTGTGTTTGTTGTCCGTAGCTTATGTCTGCCCATACCATAACTCCACCGCCACCATGGAGCACTCTTCACAACGTTGACATCAGCAAACCGCTCACCCACACATGTGGGTTTGCGGTTGTGAGGCCGGTTGGACGTACTGCCAAATTCTCTAAAACGCTGTTAGAGGTGGCTCATGGTAGAGAAATTAACATTCAATTCTCTGGCAACAGCTCTGGTGGACATTCCTGCAGTCAGCATGCAAATTGCACACTCCCTCAAAATATCTGTGGCATTGTGTTGTGTGACAAAGCTGCACATTTTAGAATGGCCTTTTATTGTCCGCAGCACAAGTTGCACCTGTGTAATGAGCATGCTGTTTAATCAGCTTCTTGATATGCCACACCTGTCAGTGGATGGATTATCTTGGCAAAGGAGAAATCCTCACTAACAGAGATGTAAACACATTTATGCACAACATTTTTGTGCGTATGGAACATTTGAGATATTTTATTTCAGCTCATGAAACATGGGACCAACACTTTACATGTTGCATTTATATATTTGTTCAGTATAGTTCAGAAATGTAGAGAGGTTTGTGACAACATGGCGCCTGCATGTGTGGATTGGTTAACAGTTTTAGGATTGACTGACTTGCTATAAATTATTCAATATAATCAATGCAACGGTCTCTACTGGTAGACTTACATTTGTTACCACTGCTCCACTCAATTTGCCAGCCAAGTGGTACACTTCCACTTGTGAATAAGTTAAGTAGCTGAAATGAAATTTAGCCAATAAATTTCATTTTCAGCTAATTTAAAGGGGCAATTTGGAATTGCTACATCAATTTTTTGACTTGATATAGCAATAACCATGAATTATTGGATGGTCAATCCATCTCATGGATAGTCATTCCTTGCATAGCTCAGTCTGAATATGAGAGTGGTTACATTTCTCCAGACCCATCTCAGTTTTTTGGTGAAACAGTGGCGGGGTTCTGCTTTGTTGGTTGTTTAAATCGCAATTTTCCTTTAATTTCTTTACAGATACACTGGCTGACAATATTATTACCGTAACCCTACTTTTGAGCATAGATTTAGCGAACTAGGTTCGTAATTTAACCAGTTGTTAGCTAGCTAACGTTAACTACAATCACAAAAACCTTATCTAGATACACTTTGACTTACGAATTGGGTAGCCACCGGTCATGTTATAAATAATGTTCTTCTACCGGCGTCCAGGCCAAAAAATGAGCACCAAAATTAGCCACGTTAGCAGGCTGTTTAGCTATATCTTGCTAGCTACGCCGACAGATGCCAGCTGGCGAAACAAACCCGACTCTCATTTGTTACCCAGAACAATACTTTTTACAAAACATTTAAAACAACACAAGTCGAAATTGACAGAAAATATTCAACTTACTTACCCTAAAAGACAAAAAAAAAATGCTATGTTATGCTGAAATGGAAAACGTCAGAAAAACACAACAATCCTGCCGGCAGCTGTTCAAGGTAATTTAGATGTCGAGCGCCTCCTTCGTGTGATGTTCCTCGTGTGTCCGCTAGGGGGTGATGTAAGACTGATGATTATAACCAGAGCCATAATTTAGCTACAGTAGCTACTAATGTATTTATGGCCCTGATTGTGGCCATTATTGCAAGCCCCTTTGAAACAATGCTGCAGCGGGTCGATGACATTGCATTTTGTTGTAGACACTTACACAAATGTAAAAGCGTGGTCAAAAGCTTTTTTAAAGATTACATTTTATTTTGGAGTTGCACAGGGATATACCACAAAACAGAAATGCTAGCACCATAGCATTTTCTCCATCCATTTGTTAATATTTAATTGTAATGCAATTGCATCATAGAAATCATTTTGGAGAATGGAGAATATGGATGGTTCTCAGCACAGACAAGCAGAGTAAGTTAATGTAGCTATTCATTAAAGAGATTCTCCTGTACTTTTGTATACTTTTTAGCCAGTAGTTCTGAAAGTAGCACTCATGAGCCAAAAGTGGTCCCTGAAAATTGCCAACTATGTCACATATGTGCAGATATGTGCACCATGTCATTGCTGTCTCTCGCTCTCTCTCTCTCTCCCTGCTGTGTCCACTGAGCCGTTGGGCCCGCCCTGCAATCTCATTGGATAACACTGGGCAGGCCTCTTCTAGCTGTCATTCAAATGCGAGGGGCTGACACTCATTTGCTAGAACTCAAATTGCTAGGGGGCTGGCCCAGGGGGGGGGAAATGTAGAAAAATGCTGTGGCACAGCTTCAAGACAACAGTCACTTTCAAACTAGAGATTTCATGGCTAATTGAGGTAGAAGAGTAATTCTGCTCATAGATTATGCATGTATGAACTACACATTGACACATCCAGCCCAAAGCGGGAGGTTTCAAAAATACTTTCTTAGTCGCCAAAGTACCAGAGCATGTCTTTAAGAGGGGCAGGTACAGTACAGACTAAACCATGTTAACCTTTTCAGGCAATCCTGCCTTGTTTTAGTGGACATGACGTATCCATTGAAATACATTTGTCGAGCCACCATATACATAACACCTCCAAGAACAGCAAGCACTAGGAAGACACAAATGTACAGTATTTTGTGGTATTTTATGGTACAAAATGTAAGGAATGCCTTTAAACAGGGGTGTCAAACTAATTCCACGGAGGGCCGAGTGTCTGCGGGTTTTTGGTTTTTCCTTTCAATTAAGACCTAGACAACCAGGTGAGGGGAGTTCTTTACTAATTAGTGACCTTAATTCATCAATCAAGTACAAGGGTGGAGCGAAAGCCCACAGACACTCGGCCCTCCATGGAAAGAGTTTGACAAATGTGCCTTAAAACCACAGCCATATTACCTTCACCGAAGAGCAGTCCAGAAGTCCACAGCACCACTAAGAAGACTGGGTACCAATCAACATTGTTCTGAATAGGGATGACAGGAAGCAATGGGACACACACACATCAGCATTGATTTATGCAGACACAGCACTTAATTAAAAAGAATGACATCATGTTAATCTAAAATCAATTAACTTTAGAGTTCTTACTGTGCCCGGAATGTTCTCTCAAACTCTGGCGTGACAGTGGGCGGCATGACCTTGTGTGTCATTCTCGCCAGCCCCACCCCTCTCGCCAGTTACCCTGAGGAAGATGTGCCAACAACACTTCAATCTTATGAACTCAACATTATATTTACACAAGGGTACATGGTTCTATTCCCATAAGCAGGGTCATAGATATCTGTGTAGTCTGCCTTATGGCAATGCTAAGTCTCACTCATGTAGGCCTGAAAGTTTAGTTTGTTTACCCATTTGTAGGGCAGAAAACAGAGTCACGGCAGCCAGCAGGAGGGGTATTTCCGTAGTCATGATTTTTGTATCATTTTAGCCCAAGATAGATACGGTTTGTCCACTGTTATAACTCCAGGTTGGTTTGCGTAACTTCCTTAGGGAAAGTCAAGTTACACCCCTTGTCAACAAGTATGTTCCTGTATTATGAATGCCCCAGAGCTGAGTTTCTATAACCCGCCCACAATATTGAGGAGGGATTGTTTTTGGAGGCTGAGTGAAAACAGGTGGATGTCTATTTCTGATAGCAAAAATAAAAAATACAGTAGGGCTATATACATTATTATCATTCAGTATTGTATAGTACAGTATAGTATATGCTATACAGTCATTCAGTGCAGTATATTATCAGAACAACTTGGATAATGTTGGAGGTGACAACTGATGACTTGTCTCTACAGTGGTGGTGATGAAGTCTTATTTACTGGGGACTGGAGGTGTGTGTGTGTGTTTGTTTGTCTGAGGTGGTCACCAAAATCTAAAACAAACCTTCCTTTTGAAAGAGTACCCCCAAAATAAATAATTTTTGGCTTGATGTCCTTTAGATCTGTGCCCACCCCACTGCATGCTTTGGTTGCATAGTGATCGACAGGCACTATGGAGCTCAATGTAGGTTATGGCAGCGCCTCTTAGCTAAAGAAAAGGGAGCTGAGGGAAGTAGTGGAGTGGTAGATGAAGAGCATAATATGACTGCAGTCAAAAGCGACGAGAAGGGTGCAACTGCGCCTCGCAATTTGGGGCGTTCCTGCATGTGGGCAATCCTGCATCTGCAGGAACCCCTCTTTATACTTCTATACTATTGGTCCATTTTTAAGCTATGACTCCAGCACATAGGTAGGAGGCAGGGGCGCTCTAGTACAGTAGATGGCGGTAATGGACCATAGCGTTGGATGCCAACCGCAGATAAACCCCACAGAAGAAGAAGAGGCGGGGGT